GCGGTGGCGAAGTCTGGCAAAGGTGCTGTGCAAGGTGCTGTGCAGGGTGCTGTGCAGGGTGCTGTGCAGGGTGCTGTGCAGGGTGCTGTGCAGGGTGCTGTGGAGGGTGCTGTGCAGGGTGCTGTGCACTGCGGGGCGTGCTGTGGGTCGTGCTGTGGGCAGGGTGCTGGGGTGCTGTGCAGGGTGTTTGTCCAAGACCTGCGGTGGCGCCGTCTGGGGCAAAGTGCGGTGCAGGGGCTGTGCAGGGTGCTGTTCAGGTGCTGTCCATACTGCGGTGGCCGAAGTCTGGGCGAAGGTGCTTTGGCAGGGTGTCTGGTGCAGGGTGCTGTGCAGGGTTGGTTGTCCAGAGTGCGGTGGCCCAAGTCTGGCAAGGTGCTGTGGGCAGGGTGCTGTGCAGCTGGCAGGCTGTTGTCCAACTGCGGTGGCGAAAGTCTGGCAAAGGTGCTGTGCCGGGTGCTGTGGCAGGGTGCTCTGCAGGTGTTGTCCATATCCAGGGTGGTGAAGTCGGCAAAGGTGCTGTGGCAGGGTGCTGTGTCATGGTGCTCTCTTGGTGTTTTGTCCAGAGGCGGTGGCGAAGTCTGGCAACCGGTGCTGTGCGGGTGCTGTGCAGGGTGCTGTCCAGGGTGCGGTGGCGATGTCTGGCAAAGGTGCTGTGCAGGGTGCTGTGCAGGGTGCTGTCCAGGGTGCGGTGGCGATGTCTGGCAAAGGTGCTGTGCAGGGTGCTGTGCAGGGTGCTGTGCAGGGTGCTGTGCAGGGTGCTGTGCAAGGGGGCTGTGCAGGGTGCTGTGCAGGGGGCTGTGCAGGGTGCTGTGCAGGGTGTTGTCCAGACTGCGGTGGCGAAGTCTGGCAAAGGGTGCTGTGCAGGGTGCTGTGCAAGGTGCTGTGCAGGGTGCTGTGCAGGGTGCTGTCCAGACTGCAGTGGCGAAGTCTGGCAAAAGTGCTGTGCAGGGTGCTGTGCAGGGTGCTGTGCAGGGTGCTGTGCAGGGTGCTGTGCAGGCCGGGTGCTGTGCAGGGTGCTGTGCAGGCCGGGTGCTGTGCAGGGTGCTGTCCAGACTGCGGTGGCGAAGTCTGGCAAAGGTGCTGTGCAGGGTGCTGTGCAGGGTGCTATCCAGACTGCGGTGGCGAAGTCTCGCAAAGGTGCTGTGCAGGGTGCTGTGAAGGGTGCTGTGAGAGGTGCTGTGCAGGGTGCTGTGCAGGGTGCTGTGCAGGGTGCTGTGCAGCGTGCTGTGCAGCGTGCTGCGCTTTGGTTCCCACGTTGGCAACCATCAGTTCCAACCTTTAGGAACTGGAAGTTCTTTGCAATGGTAACCTATGGTTCCCAGGTTGGGAAGCATGAATTCCAACCTCTGGTAACCGGCAGTTGCTTGCAATGGTAACCTCTGGTTGCCAGGTTGGGAACCATGACTTCTAACCTGTGGGAACCGGCAGTTCCTTGCAATGGTAACCTGTGGTTCCCACGTTGGCAACCGTGAGTTCCAACCTTTGGGAACCGGCAGTTCCTTGCCATGAACCAAACGCAAACATTCCGGTACCGGTCCATCAAGCAAAACAAAGCGTTCTGTACCGGTCCATTAAGCAAAACCATAAAATCGTAAAGAAACTGTTTTCATATCATTTTAACATGCACCTTTTTGGTGCAAAAACATTTTTATGCCGGCCCACCAGCCAAACGCAAACATTCCGCTACCGGTCCATTAAGCAAAACAAAAGGTTCTGTTACCGGCTCAGTAAACAAAACAAAACAACATTAAGAACCATGAGTTCTAACTTTTTGGAATCAACAGGTCCTTCCACTGGTAACGTATGCTTTTTCAGGTTTGGAATGTTTGGAACCATGAGTTTCAAGCTTTCGCAACCGGCAATTCCTTACAATGATAGTTGCTTAGCTTCGAAAACATAAGTTCTAACCTCTGGGAACCGGCAATTCCTTGCAATGGTAACCTCTGGTTCCCAGGTTGGGAACCGTAAGTTTCAAGGTCTGGGAACCGGCAGTTCCTTGCCATGGTAACCTTTGGGACCATCAGTCCCAACCTTTAGGAAACGGAAGTTCTTTGCAATGGTAACCTATGGTTCCCAGGTTGGGAAGCATGAGTTCCAACCTCTGGTAACCGGCAGTTCCTTGCAATGGTAACCTGTGGTTCCCACGTTGGCAACCGTGAGTTCCAACCTTTGGAAACCGGCAGTTCCTGGCCATGAACCAAACGCAAACATTCCGGTACCGGTCCATTAAGCAAAACAAAGCGTTCTGTACCGGTCCATTAAGCAAAACCATAAAGTTGTAAAGCAACTGTTTTCATATCATTTTGACATGCACCTTTTTCGTGCAAATACATTTTTATTCCGGCCCAACAGCCAAATGCAAACATTCCGCTACCGGTCCATTAAGCAAAACAAAAGGTTCTGTTGCCGGCTCAGTAAACAAAACAACATTAATAACCATGAGTTCTAACTTTTTGCAATCAACAGATCTTTCCACTGGTAACGTTACTTTTTCAGGCTTGGAACCATGAGTTTCAAGCTTTGGGAACCTGCAGTTCCGTACAATGAAAGCCGCTTAGCTTCGAAAGCATAAATTCTAACTTCTGGGAGCCGGCAATTCCTTGCAATGGTAACCTCTGGTTCCCAGGTTGGGAACCGTAAGTTTCAAGGTCTGGGAACCGGCAGTTCCTTGCCATGGTAACCTTTGGTTCCCACATTGGGAACCATCAGTTCCAACCTTTAGGAACTGGAAGTTCTTTGCAATGGTAACCTGTGGTTCCCAGGTGGTAACCTTTGGTTCCCAGGTTGGGAACCAGGAGTTCCAACCTCTGGGAACCGGCAGTTCTTTGCAATGGTAACCTTTGGTTCCCACGTTGGCAACAGTGAGTTCCAACCTTTGGGAACCGGCAGTTCCTTGCCATGAACCAAACGCAAACATTCCGGTACCGGTCCATTAAGCCTAAGCAAAACAAAGCGTTCTTTACCGGTCCATTAAGCAAAACCATAAAGTTGTAAAGAAACTGTTTTCATATCATTTTAACATGCACCTTTTTGGTGCAAAAACATTTTTATTCCGGCCCAACAGCCAAATGCAAACATTCCGCTACCGGTCCATTAAGCAAAACAAAAGGTTCTGTTAACAAAACAAAACAACATTAAGAACCATGAGTTCTAACTTTTTGGAATCAACAGATCCTTCCACTGGTAACGTATGCTGTTTCAGGTTTGGAACCATGAGTTTCAAGCTTTCGCAACCGGCAATTCCTTACAATGATAGTTGTTTAGCTTCAAAAACATAAATTCTAACTTCTGGGAACCGGCAATTCCTTGCAATGGTAACCTCTGGTTCCCAGGTTGGGAACCGTAAGTTTCAAGGTCTGGGAACCGGCAGTTCCTTGCCATGGTAACCTTTGGTTCCCACGTTGGGAACCATCAGTTCCAACCTTTAGGAACCGGAAGTTCTTTGCAATGGCAACCTATGGTTCCCAGGTTGGGAAGCATGAGTTCCAACCTGTGGTAACCGGCAGTTGCTTGCAATGGTAACCCATGGTTCCCAGGTTGGGAAGCATGAGTTCCAACCTCTGGTAACCGGCAGTTGCTTGCAATGGTAACCCATGGTTCCCAGGTTGGGAACCAGGAGTTCCAACCTTTGGGAACCGGCAGTTCCTTGCCATGAACCAAACGCAAACATTCCGGTACCGGTCCATTAAGTAAAACAAAGCGTTCTGTACCGGTCCATTAAGCAAAACCATAAAGTTGTAAAGAAACTGTTTTCATATCATTTTGACATGAACCTTTTTGGTGCAAAAACTTTTTTTTGCCGGCCCAACAGCCAAATGCAAACATTCCGCTACCGGTCCATTAAGCAAAACAAAAGGTTCTGTTACCGGCTCAGTAAACAAAACAAAACAACATTAAGAACCATGAGGTCTAACTTTTTGCAATCAACAGATCCTTCCACTGGTAACGTTACTTTTTCAGGCTTGGAACCATGAGTTTCAAGCTTTGGGAACCCGCAGTTCCTTACAATGATAGCCGCTTAGCTTCGAAAACATCTTTTCTAACTTCTGGGAACCGGCAATTCCTTGCAATGGTAACCTCTGGTTCCCAGGTTGGGAACCGTAAGTTTCAAGGTCTGGGAACCGGCAGTTCCTTGCCATGGTAACCTTTGGTTCCCACATTGGGAACCATCAGTTCCAATCTTTAGGAACTGGAAGTTCTTTGCAATGGTAACCTGTGGTTCCCAGGTGGTAACCTTTGGTTCCCAGGTTGGGAACCAGGAGTTCCAACCTCTGGGAACCGGCAGTTCCTTGCAATGGTAACCTTTGGTTCCCACGCTGGCAACCGTGAGTTCCAAGCTTTGGGAACTGGCAGTTCCTTGCCATGAACCAAACGCAAACTTTCCGGTACCGGTCCATTAAGCAAAACAAAGCGTTCTGTACCGGTCCATTAAGCAAAACCATAAAATTGTAAAGAAACTGTTTTCATATCATTTTGACATGCACCTTTTTCGTGCAAAAACATTTTTTTGCCAGCCCAACAGCCAAACGCAAACATTCCGCTACCGGTACATTAAGCAAAACAAAAGGTTCTGTTACCGGCTCAGTAAACAAAACAAAACAACATTAAGAACCATGAGTTCTAATTTTTTGCAATCAACAGACCCTTCCACTGGTAACGTATGTTTTTTCAGGTTTGGAACCATGATTTTTAAACTTTGGGAATCCGCAGTTCCTTACAATGATAGTTGCTTAGTTTCGAAAACATAAATTCTAACTTCTGGGAACCGGCAATTCCTTGCAATGGAAACCTCTGGTTCCCAGGTTGGGAACCGTAAGTTTCAAGGTCTGGGAACCGGCAGTTCCTTGCCATGGTAACCTTGGTTCCCACGTTGGGAACTGAACCATCAGTTCCAACCTTTTCTATCTGGGGTCTATGCCGGTGCAATTTTTTTTGCTTTATTTCTTAAAAATCATTTTTGGGCCTCTCTGGTCTGCCTTGAGTTTTATTCGTGCATATTCGTGCGATTTGTTTTGTTTGTTAATGCCGCAAAGGTGTGAGTAACAATCTTTTTGCCAAACTGTATGCAACTGTCCGGAGCTGCACTTTGAAAGATCGTTGCTCTCCGTCAAATGAGGACCCGCGCGTTCGAAGGGAAATTTGAAGGCAATTACTTTGTTGCTCATGATGGTGACCGACGCGAAATTTCCAAAAGTGACATATACACGCTGGGAGAAGTGTGGCAGTGCAATGATAAAGTATGGACTTATTGGACAGAGGACCACAAATACCTGCACTCGGGCAAGGTGATTGCGGTTGGTGCTGAGACACTCAAGTTGCATTAAGGTTTGGAATGGTTTGGACTTGGTATGACTTGGTATTCTTCGCACTTGCTGACACTAGCAAGATCTAGAAAGCAGCAAAATGTCAGCATGACTGTCCTGTATGGTCGTCAAAGTCTGAAATCTCAAGCCTGGGTTTTTTGCGTGCTCTGCCAACTTATATAATATGCAATGCGCACTTGTCACAGCGGGCACAGGGGCATGTCAAGTTTTCTGTGTCACTTTTCGTTTTCACGTGGAAGGAAGAGTTTCGTCGAGATCGATGCTGGAGACAAAGGCACAGTCCCAAACGGCTGGATCCACAAGATGGTCAGATTTAGTGGTGGGACAGCTCGATTTGGCGGTTCACATCTCATTCACTGGGATACGACACTTCGTCACTCAAATTTTATTAGAGGCTTACGCCTGATAGCCGGCCAGCACCCAACATGGAAGATATGGAAGGGAGGGGGAAGGTGGGCACGGAGGCATGTGTGTGTGTGTGTAACATCTGAATAGATGTAAAACCTTTCCTTTTTCTTTTTTCTCCCCTTTACATTGCAGGGGGGTCAGGGACGTTTGGCCTGGCCTGATCCAACGAAGCTCCAGCCATTCGTCAGGATATGATTGAGGGACGCCTCGGTCACGTACCTGTTCTTGATAAGTTGAACAGTTGAACTGTTGACTTCAGTTTCTGTTAACCGCCATACTGTGTTTGCATCAGTTCAATTTGAATTTCTAGGGTCTTGATTTCATTCCTCCGACATGGCAACCGGCTAAGCCAAGAACCGGAAGGGGATTCAGTTCCCATCGGATCTCTTAAAAGATCCACTCTTGTCTAGTGTAATATCCATGGTGGCTCCGACATGGTGCCATGGAGGTAGTGGAGGCAACCCTGTTTAGGGTGACTGATGACTGCCCTGACTTTGAATTCACACATTTTAATCTGGTAATTCATCTCAGTAAAGTGCAACACTCGCCCCTTCACCTTTTATGATGTCCTGCCGTTCCTGTTGTCCCTGGAGACCGCTGTGATTCTGCCCTTCTGTGAACTGGCAGCCGTACCGAACAACCAGAAACATTTTTGTTTTGCTGCTGCTCAAGCTTTTGAAGCATTTCACAACATGCAAGGCAGGTACACGCTTTCCAGGTGTGGTGATCTTTTCTCTTGATGGTTGTCTGGTGAGGTAAAACATTTCGTGCATCTAATTCGCTTGAACTTGAACAGCCGTTTATGCCCATGTGGCTTGACTTGACCACGGTCCCCTTTGAGGGAAGAACGCACGACTTTGTAAACTAGCAGTGAACTGAATCCCTTTAATGACTTTGTTGTTTCACTGTCGTCATCAACTAGTCCCCCATTCGGTCCCTAATTCTTCCCCCGTGCCCCTCGGTAATGTGTTGTGGGGTTCAGGTGTGTGCTCTGTGTTTGTCAGGTCCGTTTCGCCGTGCGGGTTGGTTCTGGAGGTCCGTTTGTTCCCCTCCACCCCGTGCGCTGTTCCGGCCTTGGCCCGTCGTTTGTGTCCGCTTTTCTCTTCCTCTTGCCTTTCAGGGTTTACCCGGTCCCGGCCGGGTGCGTGTGTGTGTGTAACATCTGAATCTGAATAGATGTAAAACATCTCCTTTTTCTTTTTTCCCTCCTTCTACATTGCAGGGGGATCAGGGACGTTTGGCCTGGCCTGATCCAACGAAGCTCCAGCCATTCGTCAGGATATGATTGAGGGACGCCTCGATCACGTACCTGTTCTTGATAAGTTGAACAGTTGAACTGTTGACTTCAGTTTCTGTTAACCGCCATACTGTGTTTGCATCAGTTCAATTTGAATTTCTAGGGTCTTGATTTCATTCCTCCGACATGGCAACCGGCTAAGCCAAGAACCGGAAGGGGATTCAGTTCCCATCGGATCTCTTAAAAGATCCACTCTTGTCTATAGTGTGTGTGTGTGTACACCGTTATAACAAACGGTTTTAGTTCTTTTCATTGCTCTTGTACTATTCTAAAAAGCAGGGGGCAGAGGTGCCCATGTCACTTCCTCTGCCAACGAAGCTGGGTGACATGTGGTAAGGATATAGATCAGGGACGCCTGATCTACGTACCTGCTATAGTTTCAACTGTTGACTTTCTGTTCTTGTTTATGAGCTGTGCGTTGTTTCTTCGATCGTGAATCTGTGTCCGCTGAAATTCTACTGCCAGGCAACTCAGGAAATCAGGCGAAGACTATGACATCATTCACACTTTTTACTGGCCATTACCCCACAGTGTGTCCTGGGTGTTTGACCTAACTTGGTCGCACCGTCGGTTGGTTTCGACCAATCAAAAAGTCATGAGCGGGCATTTTCCCGTATTCCGAGTGGAGTATGAATCTCCGAAGCCGTATGCACTTCGAGTGCATTTCAAGCGTCATATGACGGAGTCAAGATTTTACACTGTAAAATCCAATCGAAGCAGCCATAAGGCGAAGTAGCCATAAGGCAGAAGTCTTCGTCCAGTTCGGACAAAGCAGACATAAGTCGAAGTTCCCAGCACCACGGGTGCAATTCAAGTGCTTTTGGTCCCTTTTTGGTCCGACTCTCAGCCATCTTTTGTGTTTCAACTCATAAGGATACCTTCATTGTTCAATTTTTCAATTTTCAAATTTCGACTCTCATTGGTGCCAGTTTTGATGTTTACGAGCCATGTTTCCTAAGAGTCGTGGTCCACCCTTGCCGTCTTCTGAAGCATTTTCTACTGGACAGATCCCAGTTCGATCTACACCTTTGCCTCCTCCTCCTCCTCATCATCCTGTTGCAAATGTTCAGAATATTCAAGAGAGAGGATCATCAGCTTTTCCAAAAACATCGGGGGTGTCGCTGAACATTGTTGGACGATTTGGACAATACCGCATAGAAGCTGCTACATCTGATCAGCTAGTTCCTATTATGGGTCAGATTTTCGATGCTGAACGACAGGCTGAAATGCAACAAAATATGTGGAATTTTCAACAAATGATGATGACGGTAAATCCAACACTGATGAACTCACCATGTTCCTGTTTATCTGTGTACCAACCATGTCGGGGTCCACAAACGGATGTTTCTGGTCCGGAACCCTGCACTTTTCGGGTGGGAACTTCGTCTACGGTCGGACACTCAATTTCTGGCCCGGGACCCAATCAATGTGATTCAATGCCTACGCGGAGAAGGCAGACAGTGGACAACCAGTCGGGGCCCTATAGTTCTCAACTACGATCGACATCGCCAACTTCTGCAGGGGCTCAGTTGGGTTCTGCCGTTCGACAGCATGATTATGATGGTGTTCCTGTTCAAAGTACTTATTTCCATAATTCGAAACTTCCAGCAACTTTGATCTCCTTTTTCATTGCTGGGGAAACCATTTTGGAAGTTCCTCATCCAATGTTTTCTCAACTGTTTGTGCATTCTGTTGTAGCCAGGTCCTGCACTTCTTTGGAAGAGAACATGGCCACCCCGACAGATACTGATTGGAATCAGGTTTACACGTTGATGTTAAAACGTTTAGCCAAAGATCTTCATGATTCGCACAACAGACTGAAGAATGCTTTGGAATTGAACCGCATTCAGGAGTATCAACAGCGATACATTCTGAATGATCGATATTTTCAAACGGCTGGATATACTCCGGAAAATCGGCTGACAACAATTTCTGAATCTTTTGCAATCTTTCTGCAACAGACATTGAGTCAACAAATTGAAATGACAACACCTTTGCGTCAATTATGCGTGCACCTTAGTTGTGCGATTTGTTCCCATAGTTCCGTTGCTGAACATTTCCAGGACGTGTCATTGATCAGTCACAATGGGAAATTGCTGGGAATCAAATTGCATATGAATATTCCTCAAATTGAACATGTGGACATTGATTTTAAATCCGGTTACGCTTTTGCTCACAATTGTGCGCGACTTACTGCTGCAGAAATTCTTCGAGAAGGTGTCATTCGCCCCAGTGCTACACAATACCCGGATTGGCTTTATACTTCTGGCTTTTATTGTTGCGCCGAAATATGTCGTGATCACTCTTCGGCGGCATACCTTGCAGCACAAATTGAGGCATTTCGAAAAGCTAGTAAGTATAGTCATTATAAGGATCCTTTCAGACCGTTTTGTATATAAGGAAAGGCGCGAAGTCGTCAGTCCCATCATCTTACCATCAGTGTCGGTGGAACGGTCTCGGACCATGGCGGATTGCAATTCTTTGACTGTATTCATAATCATAGAGATAAGAGGTGGTCCTTTCGTTCTCACCTCCGTCAGATTTTTGGAATTGCTGCCTTTCTGTAAACTCTATGTGCATGATTTCTGTTTGCTTATCAGTTTCACTTTCTCATGCATGGGTCTCACCATAATTTGCAGATGAAATCTTGGATTCAAAAACTGTCGCTGTAGTCTTGTCGTGCATTTTCATGCTTTGATCTAGCTAACTTTCCATAGCAATTTTCCTCTTTGCTGCGTCGTTGAAGTTTGTGATCTGGACACTCTGCATATATAGAAATTCAATTCATGTGTATTGAACCCACTACGTTTTGCTTTCGTTGCCATGGTCTTCTTTTTGCTCATTTTGTCCATCAGGTTTGTGCACTGTTTTCATTGTAAATAAATGTTGTGCATATGCGATTACACTGGACTGGAGATGAAATTTGAATGTTCGAAATTATTGCGATCATCTCAAGCTGATCATGACTACATATTTTTACTATGCATGTTGAGTCGAAACTTGTCGGAACCTTTCTGGTCAAGAGCTCAGCAACAACTGCAGTTCCGGAACTCAGATTTTCCACTTGCCAATGTACTTGTGCGATTACTCATTCTTGACGATGAGATGGAATCACAAATGATGGAATCACAAGTGAGGTCTTGGTTGAAAGGCTTTATCGTACATCATCAGGTAAGTTTTGCTCATTCGTTATGCATTCATCGTCCTTGTCAATGGCATTAGTTGCTGTTTCGGACATTTTTGGATGACAAGGTATTCACTCCCTGTAAAGCTACTCCAGTACAGACTGTACAACAGATTCGCAATTCAGTACCTGAGTGGATTTTTCGACATTACGCGTGGGGCTTGGATTTCAGTGCGAAACTCAGCACGGGTTGTTCAAAAAGGCTAGACCCATTATCAACTATAGCACATCGTGGCCGCGGAAGTTGGGCCAAGCCATTGGTATTGCATTATTGGAAATACTCAACATTGTTTTTTCTGACCTTTTGAAATTTCAGGATGTACACGCCGTACTTGAACAAATTCGTTTGATGTTTCAAGTCATTGCTACTGATGAACGGACATTTGAAATCCATCAATCTGACATCGTTGGCTTCTACAATCAAGTGGAACATGATCGAATTCTTCAAGCTGTTGATTTCGCACTTCATCGTTTCTTTGCTCTGCAGTGAGTATCTTTGGAATCATCTATACAGACACACAATCATAAGTTGGAACGCACACTACGCATTTTTCAGAGTCATTGGCGGTCTCAGAGTAAGCAGTTTCGAGAATTTAAACTGGCTCATATTCGGGATTTGGTAAAATTCTTACTTCAGAACTCGTTCTTCCACGTCGGGACCCAAGTTTTTCGTCAACATCGTGATGCGTCTATGGGCTCACAATGGGCGCCTATTTTATGTTCGGCTGTTGCATTAACTAAAGAGTACAAGTTTTTCCAGGTTTATCCCATGTTGACAATAGAGCTCATCAGGAGATTTTCAGATTCACCAGGCAATAATAGGCTTTTCTGCGGTTTGCCCCATTTCGGGGCCTCGGTCCTACTGTAGACGACTGTTACTGAATGGATGACAGTGGATTGCACGTCTCCTTCAATTTTCGAACAACCTACCTTGGAATCTCCAACAACTTTTGATGTGGATTTTGAGTCAATGGACAGCTACTTCATTGCTTTTATTGGCATATAATCAAACTCAGCGTCGGATCCTCAGCATTTTTCGCGTCCTGCACCTGCCTCAGTACTGGACGTTTGAGTGGTGGTCACAAACAAACGTGGTGTATATGCGATTACATTGGATTGGAGAATTCTATATTGGGAGCACGGAAACTACGGTTTTTCTGCGAGAGAAATCTCGCACACACAAATACAAACAACATGTGTCGCAACAGTTGGCTTTCTTTGAACCTGCCATCAAAATATGGTGTAAACGAGACAATTTCTAACAATTTTGCATTTTTTCCTGTTCGTTCTCAACGTGGGGTCGCTGAACATCGCTTGAGCCTGGAACAAGCTTTACAACAAACATTGCGGCCTATTTGCAATTGGCCTTGGATCAACCCTCTATTGAAACGTTGGCGAATTGGAAAGACACGTTTTGGTTTCACATCGGTTAAACCAACAGTGGCATTTGGACGTAGATTGGTACGACGATACAAGAAACGCACACGAGCCCAACATTGTTCTCTATTTGAGCAGCAATCTTGACAATCATTTGCGTATTTTTCGACTTCTTTACATGTTGGGATCTGATACACTGATGAAATTTGAATGTTCGAAATTATTGAGATCATCTCAAGCTGAACATGACTACATATTTTTACTATGCAGATTGAGTCGAAATTTGACGGAACCTTTTCGGTCAAGAGCTCAGCAGCAACTCAAGCTCATTTTGCAGTTTCGGAACTCAGAATTTCCACCTGCTAATGTACCTGTACAATTACTTATTCTTGACGATGAAATGGAATCACAAATGAGGTCTTGGCTGAAAGGCTTTATCGTACATCACCAAGTCAATTTTCCTCCTTTCCACAAACCCAAGGTACCTTTTTCAATCAAGAGTCGTACTCTGGGGTCATATCTTTTCAATTTTCGACTGCACTTGCGTTGGTGGCACCCAACTGACAGACCTACTTGCAGATGCCATTTGTTACCAAAGACGAGCATTTCTGAAACACCTCATGTTTCTATTTTCGCCGCTGATATCTCTGGTATCTGTTCTGTGTACACTGCTCATATGGAGGACCAGATCAGTCCATCTTGGAACAAGGTTGTGGTCTTGCCCCATTTCGGGGCTAATGTGTGTGTGTGTACACCGTTATAACAAACGGTTTTAGTTCTTTTCATTGCTCTTGTACTATTCTAAAAAGCAGGGGGCAGAGGTGCCCATGTCACTTCCTCTGCCAACGAAGCTGGGTGACATGTGGTAAGGATATAGATCAGGGACGCCTGATCTACGTACCTGCTATAGTTTCAACTGTTGACTTTCTGTTCTTGTTTATGAGCTGTGCGTTGTTTCTTCGATCGTGAATCTGTGTCCGCTGAAATTCTACTGCCAGGCAACTCAGGAAATCAGGCGAAGACTATGACATCATTCACACCTTTTACTGGCCATTACCCCACAGTGTGTGTTTGTTTGTGTGTGTGTGTGTGGGGAGCTTCGTTCTTGTTGTTGGCCCAATCTTGGGCCTAAGTTGGGGTATATTAAGGCTTGTTGCGGCATCTTGGGCCACATGTTGGGGTTGAGCCCCTGTTAAGGCCAATGTTGGCACCCTTTGGGCTATGTCCCAAACAGATCTAAAAATGCAAGACGCGAAAATATGCGAAAATACCATGTAGAATTACATGGTTGGACGGGGTCGGCGGCAAGAAGCGGCGGTCTGGTGGGGGACACGGCCGGTGGCCAGATTTAAAGGCTTACGCCTGCGCCTGACAGCGAGCCACCGGCCAACGTGGGAGGGATGAGCAATGTGGAAAAGGAGGGGGTTGTTGTTGGGGCCATGTTGGTGGCAAGTTGAGGCCACGAAGATGAAAGGCCCAATTCAGCCAAGATATTATGGAAAAAAAGGTGGATATTCTATCAAACCTGGGTACGGCTAGGCTAAGATAGGTTCAATGGATGTTGGGGCCACATTGTAGCAATGTTGGGCCCATCTTGGGCCCAAGTGGGGCCATCTTTGCACATGTTGGGTGAGGGCATCTTGGGCCATCTTAGGGGGTGCTGCCTCGCTCTTTTCTTTCTTCCTTCCTTTAGCTCTTTCTCTTATTTCTTTGTCTGAAAATTGTGCTTGCGGTTCTTGCTCGCACTCCTCCTTTCCTCTGCTTGTTCTTTCCCTTTTTTTTGTCCTGCGTCCTTTTTCCTACTTCTTCCTCTTGTATTCAGCCTCTTGGTCCCATGCTGCCTCACCTTTGCCCTTGCTTCTACCTCTTGCTCTTCCTCTTGCTTCCTTCTTCTCCTTTTTTCTAGGTTTTCTTCCTCTTGCTCTTCTTTTTTCTTGTTGCGCTTCCTCCTGCTCTTCTTTTTTCCTTCTTGCGCTTCCTCCTGCTCTTCTTCCTCTGGTTCCTCTCTTCTTTTTGCTACTCTTCCTCTGATTTGTCTCTTTGTTTCTGTCTCTTGCTTGTCCTCTTGTTTCCTTCCACACTCCTGCTCTTGGTTTCTCTTGCTCTAGGCTTTGGCCTCTTCGCCTCCAACCTATTTCCGCCCTTGCTTTCTTCCTCTTTTTCCTCCGCTTTTTTCTTCCTCGCTCCTTCCTGCCTCGTGCTCCTCTGCTTCCACACGCTTTGCCCTTGCTTGTGCCCATTGCTCTTGCTCTTCCTTCTTGCTTCTCTGTCTTTTCCTGTTTTATTTTCCTCTGGTTCCTGTCTTGTTTTTCTTCCTCTGGCTCTTCTTTCTCTGTCATTCCCTTGTTTTTTCTCTTGTTTTCTTGCTCTTCTTGCTGCGCTTGCTTCGCTTTGTCGTATTACAGCCCTTGTACCTTTGATCCCCTTATATTCTTGCCTCTTCCTTGTCGTGAAATCTTTCTCTAACGCCCTCCCCTTTGCTGTCGGTCGGGGTCGGCGGATTCGATCTTATTTTGAAACGGCACTTTGTTGCACTTTGAAAGATCGCTGCTCTCCGTCGAATGAGGACCCGCGCGTTCGAAGGGAAATTTGAAGGCAATGACTTTGTTGCTCATGATGGTGACCGACGTGAAATTTCCAAAAGTGACCTTTACAAGTTTGGAGAAGTGTGGCAGTGCAATGATAAAGTATGGGCTTATTACACAGAGGACCACAAATACCTCAACTCGGGCAAGGTGATTGCTGTTGGTGCTGAGACACTCAAGTTGCATTAAGGTTTGGACTTGGTACCCTTCTCACTTGCTGACACTAGGAAGATCTAGACAACAGCAAATGTCAGCGTGACTGTCCTAGTCGTCATAGTCTGAAATTTCAAACCTGGGTTTGTTGCATGTTTACCGCAATGTGCAAGGCACACTTGTCACAGCTGTCAGAGGGGCATGTCAATTTATTTTTGATTTTTGAGTCAATTCCCGTTTTCACGTGGAAGGAAAAGTTACGTCGAGTTTGATGATGGAGACAAAGGCCCAATCCCAAATGGCTGGATCCACAAGATGGTGAGATTTGGTGGTGGGACAACTCGATTTGGAGGTTCACATCTCATTCACTGGGATACGACACTTTGTCAATCAAATTTATTTTGTTTGATTTTGAAGTCCTTTCTGGACCTTTGTGCTTGGTATTTATGTGTGCGATATTTTTTGCGTTTGGTAACGCCACAAAGGTGTGAGTAACCATTTTTTTGTCAAACTGTATGCAACTGTCCGGAACTGCACTTTGAAATACTTTGAAACATCGTTGCTCTCCGTCGAATGAGGACCCGCGCTTTCGAAGGGAAATTTGAAGGCAATGACTTTGTTGCTCATGATGGTGACCGACGTGAAATTTCCAAAAGTGACCTTTACAAATTTGGAGAAGTGTGGCAGTGCAATGATAAAGTATGGGCTTATTACACAGAGGACCACAAATACCTCAACTCGGGCAAGGTGATTGCTGTTGGTGCTGAGACACTCAAGTTGCATTAAGGTTTGGACTTGGTACCCTTCTCACTTGCTGACACTAGGAAGATCTAGACAACAGAAAATGTCAGCGTGACTGTCCTAGTCGTCATAGTCTGAAATTTCAAACCTGGGTTTGTTGCATGTTTACCGCAATGTGCAAGGCACACTTGTCACAGCTGTCAGAGGGGCATGTCAATTTATTTTTGATTTTTGAGTCAATTCCCGTTTTCACGTGGAAGGAAAAGTTACGTCGAGTTTGATGATGGAGACAAAGGCCCAATCCCAAATGGCTGGATCCACAAGATGGTGAGATTTGGTGGTGGGACAACTCGATTTGGAGGTTCACATCTCATTCACTGGGATACGACACTTTGTCAATCAATTTTTTTTTGTTTGATTTTGAAGTCCTTTCTGGACCTTTGTGCTTGGTATTTATGTGTGCGATATTTTTTGCGTTTGGTAACGCCACAAAGGTGTGAGTAACCATTTTTTTGTCAAACTGTATGCAACTGTCCGGAACTGCACTTTGAAATACTTTGAAAGATCGTTGCTCTCCGTCAAATGAGGACCCGCGCTTTCGAAGGGAAATTTGAAGGCAATGACTTTGTTGCTCATGATGGTGACCGACGTGAAATTTCCAAAAGTGACATTTACAAGCTTGGAGAAGTGTGGCAGTGCAATGATAAAGTTTGGGCTTATTACACAGAGGACCACAAATACCTCAACTCGGGCAAGGTGACAGCGGTTGGTGCTGAGACACTCAAGTTGCATTAAGGTTTGGACTTGGTACCCTTTTCACTTATTGACACTAGTAGGCAGCAGCAGGGACCGGAGTTTACCGTAGCAGCATTGGCTCTCCTTCCTTTGTGATTGTTTGAAGATGTTTGAAGTCATTGAAAACTGAAACATATCGAAACGTTGAAAGGTTTTTTTCCACCCAAACCGTTTCAGTTGGAAGGAAAAGTTATGTGGAGTTCGACGACAAAGACAAGGGATTACTTCCGAACGAGTGGATCCACAAGATGGTGAGTTTTCAAGGCAACACTTCGAACTTGAACAACAACAACAATGAGTCGAACATGGACAACGCTGATTCTTGATCTCTGCCTGAGCATCCTGAGCCTGCAAGAGAAGCCGTCAGACAATGAGGGCAGGTGGGTTTGATCTGCATTTGTTTGTAGTCCATGCAGCAATTTAGTTTTAAGTCTAAGATGATGATTGACATCTATCGACCCATCTATGTGTCACAACTGTTTCACACGTTCCCTGTTCCCTTTAAGGGGGGAAGGAAGTGCCACCAGTCGCCAGTTCCTATGGCCTAATGCGGCTAGGGCGCATGGCGCTGCAAAATATGACGGACACAACCTAAGCTCAACGAGGCCGCTACACAGAAGCATATTATTGAATAGGATTAATAGGCTTATCTGAACACATATGTCTTAGCATCTGGAAGGACGCGCACACGCTCGCTCACACATCATATAGCTGCATATATGTACTGTTTGTGTATGCATAATTCACACACAAATATATATATATATACACATGCGCATACACATGAATGAATGGATAGACTTTTATATATGCCATGTATATTTAAATGCCGTGTTCTGAGATTCTGGAATAGATATTGTAAGCTTTTTGCCCATCCAGAAAGTCGTGGATTCCACATGCTTGGGAGTAGCTTGGATGGGCAGACATCTCAATTCGTGAGATGAAACCATGGAGGCAGAATGCGAACAATCTGTTTTACCGCGTGTGGTTCAAGAGTAGAAACGCGCAAAGTCGCGTCATGAGGTGACAGGCTTCTTGGTGCTGGCCCCGGTCTCTTAGTGTCACAGTCTTGTCTCTCGCGGAAAGTGGTAAACTTATAAAGTATTAGTAAACCATTGGCAAATCCCGCTGTAAACCCCGATTTTTCTTGAAACCATTCCCAGCCGGAGGTAAACTGCTGATTTTCCCACATTAGATGTCATGCTGTAGAGGCCGAATGGTCGAAGTTGATGTTTTACAGGTAGAGGCCAGGGAGATTTATGGAATCCATGGAACACGCACTCGCACTTGGACCTGGATCAGTTGGGAAGCCATGCAAAACATGATTCCATTTTTTCCGCATGAGATTTGGCAGTTGCTCTGTTATCTTGTTGTAGCGTCAATGCTGTAAAACTTGCCCAATTTTGGTTGTAGTCAATGATAGTCAACATTCTAGAATTGTTCATATTTATACTTTTAACATGTATAATTATTCAGTTTATAGATTTATGGATGTATGCCTACACAACTATATAATAAATATGGTGTTTGTTTCACAAGTTGTGTTGTTTGCCCCCCCCCACCCTATAGCAAAGCGTAGCAAAGTTGCAGGCTGAGGACGAGGATGGTCAAGGGGCTGCAGGAAGCTGATCTGCGCTCAGAGCCATTGAGAATAGCCTGGTTGGGTCAATATGGGGGTATGGGGACTTATACTAGCTAATTGATTGGGGATTGTGATAAACCATGGTAGGATTTTTTTTGGGGGGATGATAAAGCATAGGGATTTTACCATCCGGAATTTGTTGAACAATTGGGATTATCATGGTATTTAACCATCAAATTTGAGGATTATAACCAACCACGATGAGAGCACAATGGGGTCCACCATCCCTAGGATCAACCATGTCGGCGGGATTCCAACCATTAATATGGGTGTTTTATAACACTGCTTTACCAGCATTGTTGATGGGCTATTATAGGTTATAGGATGTTATAGGGAATTATCCCGTTCTTAGCCAACCAGTATCATGGGTTGTGACATTTCGGGTTTCAAACACTGCTCGGGCCAGGTGAACATCACCACTCCTTTCTTGAGAGAAAACCATATAGGATTTTACCAAAGATGCTGGTGATGTGGGCACATGTTTGATCCACAATACGGCCAACATTGAAGGTTTCCATCTATCAAAAGACATTTCCTAGAAACATGCACGCAGCACCGCACTTGGGATATTGATCTTTGAGGTGTTAGCAACATCATGGCAAATGCCTTGGATCAAGAGGAGGTCATCGCAGAAAAACCTGGGGTGGCACAGCCTATCCCCAGCAACATGTTTTATCTTTCTCAATTATGGCGGACTTTTACTGATAGAACTGTCAGCGCGTGATACTCATTCAGGTTCTCGACGGTTCCTGGTTTCTGTCAGTTTTGTTTTTTTGGTAGGGATTGCTTTGATGATTGCTCTTAAGTGGTAGAATAAATCCAATCGGTAATTCAAGATCAAACCTTCACGAAATCATGAAGAGAGCAGTGGCAAAAACCTGTAAGGATCTGTGAGGATGGTTGCCGGTTGGGGGTGACGCTGTAATTCACAAGGCGGTTTTTGATGGTGGTTGGTCCTGCTCTTTGCTGGCTGCAGCTCCAATTTGGTCCGGAAAAAATGTCGCCTTTAATTTCTTTTTGTTATGCTTGACTGTCCATGATTTGGTGTATACACTAACCATATCCAACAATGGGTACTATGATTGCATTTCATAATGAAGACTCATTTCAATGGCCATTTCAGGAACCTAAATTGGAGGTACCTACCATATATAAGGTCTATATAAGGCCTATGGAAGGGAATATCCCCACAACATATGGCCTTATATGGTACAGTACCTCCATTTTGCGATCCTGAAATTCCCATTGATCATTGCTGCAAATTTGGGAGGACCTTCATGTACGAAGGAATCCCAGCACATCATCTAAGGCGGGTTTTTGTGAATGCAGCTTCCACAGGTTCGACTTCACCACGAGGTTACCAGACATGCTGAGTGATGGAGATTCGTCCAACGATTTGCTCAGATTTATATATGTAGTCTGGACATGTCTGAGCATATTTCTCAACATTGCGTTCATTCCCCCCCATGCCCATGCCAGGAGCCATTGCCAGGTCTAGGAAGATCCGTGCAACCAGGTCAGGGCTGCTGCTATCGTTTGCTGTTGGGTATACCTGGGTCATGTGAGAAAATTCACATATATAGGTGGGTCTCAAAAGTCATGGCCATTTGAATGGGAGAAAATGATGAGAATCATCCATAGGATTGGGGGGTGCCTTGGTTTCAATCAATCTTTATGCTCGGTAACTAAGGTTTGCCAGGATTTTTCCATGATGACATCCCGTTGCCCAAGGTCTTGAACGTGCTCAGATCAGCAAGCTGATAGCCAGTCCCAGGCCGCTGCGACAATGCGGGCAGTGTGGGGCAAATCCTGGTGCAAAAAAAACTGTGTGCTAGGCGCCATGCAGAAATGCGTGAGTGCCCCTCCGTTTTGACCCTCGATCATGGTCGAAGCGGCAGAGTCCCCGGCTAAAAGACGCAGGTACGTGAAACGCCAAGACTTTTGGCGCGTACCGCATTTCTTCAGAGACATGGAAGCAGACTTCGACGAGGAAGAAGAGTGCCCTTCAAACTTTCAAGATTGGACTGCGCTTTTGGGATATGCAACGCTTTCTGCATGTATTCTTACTCTGATCTTGCTGGACGTGAATTTTCCCACAATTGTTTCCTGATGGGTGGCTCGGCCAAATTTGCACCCGGCTGCTTAGAGCAAACCACTTTTCAGGTACATCGAGTCATTGCAACTGCCGGATGAGGTGAAGTGCCCAAGTGAGGGTTCACTTACATTATTATAATTTATATATATATATATATTATTATTATATACATATATTTACATTCATTTCTGCTCCAATGTTTTTGGACACACCTGCCCCCAAACAGTAGGTGAGCAATCTCAAATTGACCAGCGAGCTGCCCCTGTTATGCTGAAGGCGCCAAAACGCCGAGTGCGGCTGCTAGCGCAAAGCCAGGGACGCAGCTGTGGGTTGCTACGTCATTTTCACGGTCACCAGTCGTCCTTGCAGTTGTGAGCTGGGATGTTATGCATGCCAATTGCCGGATCCAAGACTAAAGGTACAATTTCTATCAATTTCTAGCATTGAATTGCACCTTCCCAAAATCCCAAGGCATCGGAATGTGGTTTCATCACGTTCCATCCCCAGTCATTGAGGTGAAAGGGAGTTGATCATCCAGGGCCTGAGACAGCAGTCGGGTCTCTTAAGTTTGGAGTGCTGCTTTGGAGTCACGGCCATTCCAAGGATTTCAGCCACCACATGCCACCAACAATCCAAACCACCAGCGTCTCGCCAGGTTTCAAAAGGCCACGGCCACCTACCTGAAGGCAGCACCCAGTAGTCGATCGAAAGAGAACCTCGAAGAGTTGGAGCGAATCAAGCAGGACTTTCTTCGACGAGTTTTGGGATTGACATGGACTGACCGCAATCTATATGGCAGTCTGCAATTTATTGTGCCATACTTTGTTTTTTTTGCCCATCTCCATCATTCATCATTCTCCATCATATTTTTATTTTGGCACTTCTTTCCACCGTTGTGACTTTGGTTCACATCTTTCTCCCAGGACATCGCCAACCTGAGCCATCCATATGTCTTCGTGGAGGCTTGACGACGCCTGGCATGGCTCGGTGAATTGAAGCATGGCGCGCTCCCAGCGATCCGAGCAGCGAAAAGATTCCCACACTGCGGCCGGAACCAAATGCTGGGCACACGAAATGCTGAACCAAATCTGACACACGAATTACACATGACATGCGTTTTTTCCATGCGAAACCAAAGCTCAGTTGGCCAGATGTTACATGATTTTACCATTTGGATCCATTTGGGGCTTATAGTAAACATTAGTTTTTAAACATTAGTTTTTACTAAACATTAGTTTTTACCTATGATCATTAGGTTTAACAGGTTTTTACCTATGATCCACCTGAATTCAGCGGAGATTGGGTTTGCCGTCGCAGCCCAGCGGCTCACGCTGCCATTTTTGGTGGCCGTTGAGGCGGGGGCTGTGCACTTTGTCTCGGATGTCTTGCTGTGTTCCATCCCCATCAGCCAGACTAATTTACAACAGTAGAACTTATAATGGTAGTAGTTATTTCATGTTATTTCTTTAGTAAATTTAAATATACTTAATTTATCTTAATTTGTTTCAAGGGGTGAAAGTTGGCTTTTCTGGACAATCCCATCCCCGCAATATTCAATTCTCCCGATAAGGGCGTGCAAAATGAAGAGACTGACATACTAAACTGGGGCTCCGGCGGAGCTGTAGACTCTGACATGCAGCCAGCTTGCAAGGCCATGGACCTGTGCAACCTGTGCATTGAGTACACGGTCACCTCGGCTTTTGACAGCGGGTTGGCGGGGTTGGTTTCTGCATTAGTTGGGGATGGGGGGGACCTTTTGTACCAGAAATATTTCATGATGTTGAGTGTCAAAGTGGCAAAGCCACGCAAAAACAATAACGTGTATTTGTTGGTTTGCTTGTTGCTTCACGTGCATGGCCAAGCACACATCACGCCATCATCATAGAAACATATACAATCTTAATGCATGTTTATCGCCACCATCATCACGATCCACAGGCAGCCTCCTCGCCTGATGTGCCTGTATTTTTTGAAGCCAGCGACAGGTGAAATTTAGGAGAGTTTCTTGCTCCCTGATCTGACATTTTTTAGCATTTTGGTCATGTATTGGTTGGCTATAATATATATATATCTTATTATATTTTATTATATAAATATATCCCACTAATACCCCATTGTATCCCCCGGTTATCCCAGTATTTTCCTTTTTGTTCCCATGATATCCCCATTTGTCAATGATTTCCATGATTTCCATAAACCAGTCTGGTGTCCCCATTGTTGGTCGTTGGTTCATCATATTGTACCCTCCGGCATTTGCCAGTTCTACTATGGCGAGAAGGCTGCGAAGAAGATGTGGATGCGTCCCGTACCAGCGACCCTCACCATCGTAGGAACCAGCTCCGAGCTGAGGAAAATGTGGTGATGATTATATATATGTGATGATTATATATATATATATATATGTGTATTGTTGATGCAGGGGGCAGCATATTTAACGTTACGCGGTGTCCAAATAGATGGGGATGCTCTGAAAAAAGCTTTGCACATCGCACATGATTTGAACATCATCTTCATTTCCATGCATTAAAACTCCCTCTGAATTTTGGCATGTGCTGAGGCTTCTTTTTCCTGTTGCTCCTGGGCAGTATGCAAGGAGGTTCGGAAATCCAGAACACTGGTAGTGGAGTCGTGGCCAGAGGCCCAGCTATCGATCACTGCTGTTGATTACTATAGATCCAAGAGTGTCTCAAACTGCCACAACATGTTGTTGTATTTGGTATAGTAGTGATTAATTTAGTAATACCTACCATCAAAAAGAAATCCTATTGAAAACACTCCCTCCTAAAATCTTGATCATCTCGTTTTGGTGATTGTTTCCTTTGTCGTTGGATCACTGTTTTCCGCGACAACATCCTCCTCGCGACCCTCTAAGGACCCTCCTCCGTGGCCTGGCTCAGCAGAGGATTTCGCGCTATGTTTTCACCACAGGAAAGATAGTCAACAATTGACCAAACATCGATGTAAAATGATCTAAATACTACACTTGTAACCCTGAATGCATCAATGCCTGCTAAAATAAATACGATAGATATAATGTGATAAATAGTGATTACACACACATATATATATATTATAGGTATGACATACCACAAGTCACTACAATATACCGAAAAAAAAGTCTATGACACACCATATACCTGCCATCTCACCATGGCTGAGGCCCCAAAGGAGCCTCAGTCGCCTGGGACTTAAAGACACCATCGCGGCAAGACGAAAGGTGGGGAAAGGTGCCAGTGCCCCTATCATAATATGCAAATGACCCTGCACATGTACATCAATAAATATGTGGTTGTATATATATATATTTATAATATGACGATAATTGAATAAGTAAATAATGTATATATATATAATGTATATATATATATATCAACTTCATAGTTTTATATCTCTGTATCTATCTGTATCTACATCCATATGCATATACGGCGTACATGCCTGTCCCCCTCATGTTCCCCTTATTCTCCCATGATAGTTGGTCTCAGGTCCGTCGTTAAGTCCGTCGTTGGAATCCAGGTTGACTGAGGCATCGGGGATGCTGATATTGGAGCCATGAATGGTGCACCCCTGTTGATCGCTTATTGTGCCGGGATTTAAGTATCAACTACTCTCTTTGTTATTGCATCTTTCAAGTTTTAGTCACCAAAAATGAGGATATATTTGGTAGGTGATTTGGAATTTTCATGATTTTTCGCTATATGAGGGATTTTGGCCACCACTTGATGGGGAAAATGTGGTGCTTCAAGCCACTGGATGCATTGAGGTACCCACATTTTTGACAACCCAAATGTCGAGGCAAACAATGAACTTGGACTGCTATGGACTGCTGTCGGTTTCGTCACCCAAACCCAAGGACCCAAGGTTCAACAACTCTGAAACCCTTACGAAATAGTAGCCCCAAGCCCTGTCCTTTTGTCAGGATGCCGAGCCAGACACCGAAGAAGCCACCGGCTTGCTGTCTGGCAGCGAGGCCGTGAGGCCTATGGAGGATGACGACCTAAATCAAAGGAACGAAAGGAACGAGCCGGGCGAAAACGAGCCTGGCACAGGTCATGGAGCGCCCGAGCTCGAGGACAGAGACACAGAGCAAGAGCAACAGCAGTTCGCCGAGAGACAGGAGGCAGAGATGAATGGCCAGCCTGAGGAGCCACTTGTAGATGGAAAAGAAACGATGTCCGGAAAGGCGAGCAGTGAGTTGAGTGATCAGGGATCAGGTGTGCATTAAAAAGAAGGATGATTTGATTGGCATGTTGACTCTGTTTGTTTTCCATGTTGCGGCTTGCGATCAGTGTAGATATACAGATACACATGTAGAATGCAATTCTCGAAGAGGCATCATTGCCAACAATTGGCTGCTCGCTGTGTCAGACAACCATGTTTGGAGTTTGCAATCCATTGCAGCCTAGGTGGTCAGCAGCCCCGACGAAGTCGATGAAAACCCATCAGGACATTTCCCCTCCAGCGGGACAGTGGCTGACGAGGACACAAATCAGGATGTAGATGCGATCAAAGAAGGGCCCAGCACCAACCTTGAATCCAATGCTGACACTCAGGTTGAAGAGACTGAAAATGCCGCTTCAGAGTCAAGTACGAACATCAAGTCCACAGACACAACTGAGGTTGACAATGAGAACGACGACAAAGCACAGGAGGAGCTGACCAGCAAAAGCCTCGGCTTCACTAGCAAATTCGTTGTGGGCGAACAGATAGTCTCAAAGTCAGCTGCAACAAAGAAGTCCACAGACACAACTGAGCTTGACAAAGACAATGAAGAAAAGGAACACCAGGATCTGAGAAGTAAAAGCAGCCTGCGCTCCAGTGAAAAAAACGCAATGGAAGAGGAGACAGCCTCCGAGCCAACTGCAACGCAGAAGTCCACAGAGCCAACCGAGGATGACAACGACGATGATAACAAAGAATCAGAGGAGTTAGCCAGCAAAAGCAGCCTTCCACCCAGCAAAACAGCCCATGGCGAGGAGACAGCCTCGAAGTCAAAGGCCAAGAGATCCACAGAGACTACAGAAGATGACACCGACAAGGAGGATTTGACAGGCAAAAGCAGCCTTCACTCCAGTAGAATAGCTATTGGTGAGGAGACAGGGTCAAAGTCCACTGCAATCAAGAAGAGCACAGGCGCAACCGAGGATGACAACTACAATGAGGACAAAACAGAGGAGGAATTGACCAGCAAAAGCGGCCTCCGTACCAGTAGCACAATAGTGGTTGGTGAGGAGGCAGCCTCAAAGCCAACTGAAATCAAGATGTCCACATACACAACCAAACTTACTATTGACAACGACAAGAAGCAACCAAAGGATAAGACTAGCAAAAGCAGCCTTCGTTCCAGTGGCACGGCAACAGAGGGCGAGGAGACAGTCTCCAAGTCAATCGTATCCAAAAAGTGGACAGAAACAACTGAGACTGAACACGACAATGAAGAAAAGGAACAACCGGAACTGACCAGCAAAAGCAGCCCTCGCTCCAGTGGCAACACGGCCGTGGGCGAGGAGACAGCCGCCAAGTCAACTGCAACGAAAAAGTCCACAGACACAACTGAGCTTGACAATAAAGGCAAAGAACCACAGGACTTGACCAGCAAAAGCAGCCTTCGCTCCAGCAGCAAAAAAGCCCTGGGCGAGGAGACACTCTTGAAGGCAGCTGCAGCCAAGAAGTCCACAGGTGCAACCGAAGATGACAACGACGATGATAACAAAGAATCAGAGGAGTTGAGCAGCAAAAGCATCCTCAGCCCTAGCAGCAAAACAGCCGTGGGACAGGAGACAGTCTCAAAGTCTGTGGCATCCAAGCAGTTCACAGACACAAGCAAGGTTGACAATGACAATAACGGCAAAGAATCACAGGACTTGACCAGCAAAAGCAGCCTTCGCTCCAGCAGCAAAACAGCCCTGGGAGAGGAGACAGTCTTGAAGTCAACTGCAGCCAAGAAGTCCACAGGTGCAACTGAAGATGACAACGACGATGATGTCAAAGAATCAGAGGAGTTGAGCAGCAAAAGCATCCTTTCCCCCAGCAGCAAAACAGCCGTGGGACAGGAGACAGTCTCAAAGCCTGTTGCATCCAAGCAGTTTACAGAGAAAACTTTCCTTGACAATGACAACAACGGCAACGAACCAGATGACTTGGCCAGCAAAAGCAGCCTTCTCTCCCGCAGCAAAGAAGTTGCCGGCGAGAAGACAGCCTCGAAGCCAACTGCAACCAAGAAGTCCACAGAGGCAACAGATGACGACAACGATAATGACGACAAAGAAGCAGAGGACTTGATCAGCAAAAGCAGCCTTACACCTAGTAGCAAAACAAAAGTTGATGCTGTTGGCCTTGGCGAGGATACAAAAACAACTGTTAGCATTGTTAGCAAGAAGTCGAAAGAGGCAAAACAGGATGACAACGACAATGACGACAAAACACAAGAGGAATTGACCAGCAAAAGCAGCCTTCCCCTCAGTAGCAAAACAGCCCTGGGCAAGGAGATGGCCTCGAAGTCAACTGCAGCCAAGAAGTCCACAGGTACGACCGAAGATGACAACGACGATGATAACAAAGAATCAGAGGAGTTGAGCAGCAAAAGCATCCTCAGCCCTAGCAGCAAAACAGGCGTGAGACAGGAGACAGTCTCAAAGTATGTGGCATTCAAGCAGTTCACCGACACAAGCAAGGTTGATGATGGCAATAATGACAAAGAACCACAGGACTTGACCAGCAAAAGCAGCCTTCGCTCCAGTAGCAAAACAGTCCTGGGCGAGGAGACAGTCTTGAAGTCAACTGCAGCCGAGAAGTCCACAGGTACGACCGAAGATGACAACGACGATGATGACAAAGAATCAGAGGAGTTGAGCAGCAAAAGCATCCTTCCCGCCAGCAGCAGCAAAACAGCCGTGGGACAGGAGACAGTCTCAAAGTCTGTGACATCCAAACAGTTCACAGACACAAGCAAGGTTGATGATGGCAATAACGACAAAGAACCACAGGACTTGACCAGCAAAAGCAGCCTTCGCTCCAGCAGCAAAACAGCCCTGGGCGAGGAGACACTCTTGAAGGCAGCTGCAGCCAAGAAGTCCACAGGTGCAACCGAAGATGACAACGACGATGACAACAAAGAATCAGAGGAGTTGAGCAGCAAAAGCATCCTCAGCCCTAGCAGCAAAACAGCCGTGGAACAGGAGACAGTCTCAAAGTCTGTGGCATCCAAGCAGTTCACAGACACAAGCAAGGTTGACAATGACAATAACGGCAAAGATTCACAGGACTTGACCAGCAAAAGCAGCCTTCGCTCCAGCAGCAAAACAGCCCTGGGCGAGGAGACACTCTTGAAGGCAGCTGCAGCCAAGAAGTCCACAGGTGCAACTGAAGATGACAACGACGATGATGTCAAAGAATCAGAGGAGTTGAGCAGCAAAAGCATCCTTTCCCCCAGCAGCAGCAAAACAGCCGTGGGACAGGAGACAGTCTCAAAGTCTGTGGCATCCAAGCAGTTCACAGACACAAGCAAGGTTGACAATGACAATAACGGCAAAGAACCACAGGACTTGACCAGCAAAAGCAGCCTTCGCTCCAGCAGCAAAGTAGTTGCTGGCGAGGAGACAGGTTCGAAGTCTACTGCGACCAAGAAGTCTGCAGACACAACAGGGCTTGACAACGACAACGACGACAAAATAGAAGAGGAGTTGACTAGCAAGAGCAGCGTCCGCTCCAGCAGCAAACCAGGCGTGGGCGAGGAGACAGCCTCCATGTCAGCTGCCAAGAAGAGGACATTTTTCTCTGGTATTGATGAAGACCATGAAGATAGAGCCTCCCAGGATTCCAAAAAGGTGCCCAGTGAAAGTGGCCTCCTGTCTAGCGCAAAGGCTACAGTTGGCATGGACGCAATCTCTGAGACTGATGTGTCCAAGAAGTCCCCAGCCGCTATCGAGGACAAGGATGATGATCAAGATGCCCCAGAGGCAACCAGCAGCCTTCGCTCCAAGGTGGCATTGAGCAAGAAATCCACAGACACAGCTGAAATCGACGGAGAGGACCAGGTCCAAGACAAGGTGATGAACCGAACACATGGCAGCCAAACCAATTTGTTGGGGAGTTCTTTGCTTGGATCCAGAGATTCCACTATGCCCGGCTTGCAGGGCCCTGGGCGATTGAGACCGAATTTCTCAACTGAAGAGCCATCCATGGTGAAGTCGCAATCCATCAGACCGAAAGTCAGAGAAGGCAGGGTAGGGCAGCTAGATGATCCTGGGGATGCAGCCAGTCTTCCCTTGAAAATCGGAGCCGAAAAGGCACAAGGCAGTGCTAAAAGTAAAGCTGAGGAGAGGGCCAAGGAAGATGCAACAGTATCATCCAAGACAAAAATGAGGATGTCCTTTGATGCTGATGCTGATGCTGGCACGAGCTCCCTGGGAGAGAACCTGAAGCCAGTTGGTTCTTCGGAAGGTTCCAGTGCACGGCAAAGTGATCCCAAGGTGGGAAAGACACCACTTTCCAGCGGAACCCATGGAACTTTAAGATCTCCAGCTGCAGCTGAACTTCCCAGAGCCCCAAGTCTAAGAGGAAGCGGAGACTTAGATGATGAGGAAGCGTCATCTCGAGGCTCGTCCAAGCCAAAGACGCTTGAAGGGACGGAAATCTCTGCGTCCTCTGGGGCGTCCACCGAAAGCGCAGACGTGGAAGACGAAACCTGATGGCAGTAGACATCAGTAGACATGCATCCAGATCCGGTTGGCATGTTGTTTATGCAGTTTAAATCGTTTAAACTTGACACAATCTACACATACCTCCCTACTGTATACATCAAATCATGAAATTATATATCATTGTATACAATATGAAAGGCACCTTTAATATCATTTAATATCTCTGCGTATGTGGCAACACGTTTTTTTTTGTTGTTTCTGTGGTATAAGGTGTATAAACACGCACGCACCCACACATCACTCGCTGCACTGAGCAGCTGCGCAGCTTCCCAGTTTCATCCCTCGGTGCAACGGACAGAAGCACCACATAGATAGCGAGTTGAAAGTCGCAAGCAGCTCAAGACGGTGACACGTTTTTTTTCATCCTGTTGATGGTTTCAACCTCAACATACTTTCAACCATAGCCTTTGGATGTCTTTGGATGACTTTGGATGATCCAAGATGTTGAGCATATCTTTTGGAATGGCTTGAAACCATCAAACAGTTTTTTTTTTGGCTGGAAGTTCTCAGAGGGGCGGCATTGATCAAACCTTGCATTGCTTCTCCAACTGCCTCAGGCGTTTGGCTCGAAACCACCCCATGTCGATTCAGATGTGTCGATCAGTGCTGGCTGCTTTACTCATGTTGCCACACCAGTGAACTGGCCAGAAAAGCTCTAAAGATCTCTAAAGATCTCTAAAGATCTCCAAAGATCTCCAAAGCATGTGGATAAGATGGGAAACATGAACAACACGTGGGGAAAAAACCATGGAAAAACACATGGGAAAACACGCAACTTGCTTCGAGAGGAAGATGATGACAGATGCCATTGCCATTGCTTGGGATTGTTGTGGGCCTTTGCCAAGTAGGGCTTCAACTGTGTTCAACTCCTGGGCCATTTTCAAGGTGCTGTCGTCCTATATCCTGGAATTTTTTAAAGGGATCAAAACCCTCATGGCCATGGCCCTAAAAACAATTGGGTAACATGATGTTTTTTTTTTTAATTTATGTGCTTTTCATGGAATGGATAATGGTTTTCCCTGAATTTTTGGGACTTTCTGAAGCATACTCGAGCCAAGTGCCGGAAAAAGATACCAAAGTACCAAAGACCAAAGGCATCCAAAGGCTTGTGAGGTTTTCCTGGTCCAGCATGGACAGTACACCCAGCCCGTCTTGGCCTCCATGAGCCCAGCGATTTGGCAAAGGTGCTGCTGGGGTGGCAGCTGCAGCTAGCTCTAGCAATGTCAGGTAGATGTTGGTATATAGATGATCGTAGATGATAGACAAGATATTGACAAGATATAGTGACCAGATGTGACCAGTGTTTTCAATATGTTTTCAACATGTTTCGCTGTTTCGAAGGTATTCCAAGGTTGTTGAATCTCCATCCTTACTGGGGATGATGATCTAGACAATCTGGACGTACTACGTTAATTACTCATATGACTCATATGATATGTTCAATTGTCAACACCTCTGAGGAGACAACAGCAGGAAACGCGTGGTGCGAGGTTGTAAACAGAACGATGCACATCAGGCAAGCATATCAAATTACGTGATCGATGATGTGTATTGTTATGCGATGTCCTCATGTTCATGCAGGTACAAGGCAATAGCATCTGCAAGTATTCACATGAACAGATTTCATTGGGACTACCTAACTGCAGCCAAACTTTCCATATCTCCCCATGAAAATTTCTGGCCCAAATTTCTGGCGCGCAGCGGCAGGGCATGCCTCAGTCTTCGGTGTCTTCGGTCTTGATCGCGGTGCCCTCAGGCCCTGAGAGCCCCAACCAGGAGCAACCAGGAGCTCCGCTGCTCAGGAGTGGCATCGCAAGAGACGCCGCCTTGGCACTCCATTGGAGTTGGGGCCTGAGGTTTGACGGGCCCTTCCTTAAACCAAAGACTGGTTGGTGGCTTCTGCCTGTGGCCAACATCGCTATGGACTATGGAAGATGATGGATAATGGGATGTTTGCAGATGATTTACCATGATTTACCCCACACAAAATGATGGTTTTCCATAGCTATGCGGCTATGCTTTATTAGCGGAGGGTATGATCATCTCTAGAAATGGGATGATGAGCTCACTTGACATGATTTTCAGGGGAGCTTTGAAACCACCAACCGGTTGGTAGCCCTGTGAAGGCGGAACGACAGTGCAGATGGCGAGACCAATCTCGTCCATGTCCCAGACGCGTTTGCAAACGCTGGATGTCACTCCAGACATTGTGTGGAAACTGTGGCATTAATGGGGGCCAGTGCGGCTTGTCCGAAATTGACCTTAATTTAGATTTCCAAAGTGGGACACACACACACACATATATATATAATATATGTGGAAATATTTATGGTAGTCCGGAATGACCGACTTCTGAACTTATGAATATCTTTTGTTAATTTTTGTTAGCTGACTGTTGATCTTTGCTGGCACACTGGGACACCATCGCCTCGTCGGACGGTTGAAGAGGCCGAGAAGGGCGCCTCGCGGAATGCAGACTTGTCAGCCCGCTTCCCAGAACGCTGCTGGTGGACGTTGTGACTGGATTGCTGTGAGCTATTCAGCTGCTAGTTATTTACGTGTTTTTTACTATATGTCTTACAACAGTTACAACTACTATTTTTTCTACTGCTGTTTTTTTTCCTATTGACATTATTTCTTTTCTAATTGCTACTAGTATCATTATTTCAGATTGCCACAAGGAAGTAGTTTAGTTATTCTACCGCTGCATTTGCCGAGTTATTTGCCCAATTTCCACCTTTGCTATTTGGGTTTCGGTGGCGACAATGTTTGGGTGGTGGGTATTTCCGGGCGATGGAAATTGCTGCCACTTGAGCAAATGCTTCAAACATTCCTTCAATACCTGGTGACCTTCCATAGTCCTTTCGAAGACTCAATGTGCCCATCAAGGTATTTGTTGCTGAACTGTGTGTGAATTTGACAGTCCACCTCAAGATTTCAGGTACCCTCTGGTAAACTAACATAACTATGGAAAATCACCATTTTTAATGGGTAAATCCACTATAAATCACCATTTTCAATAGCTATGTTAAATTACCAGAGGGTACTGGGCAGCCTAGTAGCATCATGTCGGTTTTGGCGAGGCATTTCCTTGCAGCCCAGTCGTGTGTCCGTCTCCGGCAGAATTTGAGCGACAGGCCCATGGTGCTGAAGAAGTTGTCCTATGTCAGCCTCATGTCATGGTTTAGCACCGATGCAAAACCATCCGTTTTTGCCATCCGTAAGCATCCCCAATTCTACCAGAAATAGATAGAAAAGGGTGAGATTAGAACCATCCCCCAGTCGAATTGCAAAAATCTTGGCTTGTAGATGCGATCAAGTGACTGGGCTCATGATACAAAGCAGGATCTCGTCAGAAAGAACGTGCGACAGGCGGGTTTCTGGTGATTTTTGCCGTACTTTTTGGATCAACTTTGTGGAGCGATTTCTGTCCAAAAAGTATCACCATGCATCAACATCTGGTTCATTGACTTGATACCCCATCAGATGGGTTGATGGATTCAGCTAATCACCTTGCTTGAAACTGGGGTTATTGACTTCAGATGGCTTCAGCTCATGAGTTTCTGGTTCCAGATCGATGCAGAGTACGAGTTCAAGGAGGTTCTCGGTGAAGGTTCCTTCGGGAAGGTTCACAAGGTGCCAGCCATCAGCATCCAACATGTCCTGCAACTTGCCTGCGCAAAACTGGGAGGCCCAACACAGACGTACAGGTATCCTCAGGGTTGTAAGCTCAGTATCCTGTATGGCAGCCATGGGTTGATGGATTGATCCATGGATTGACCCATGGTACTTCTTGGAGCCCAAGGCGGTGAAGGAAATTCCTCAGACGGGTGGAGATGATGATTTTGAGCTTGAGCTCAAGGCAAGATTTTTCAGCTCAGTTTTCAGACTTTCACAGCTACAGGGCTATACAGGGCTCCTTTGCCTTGTCAATGATGGATCTTGATATTCTGTGCCTCTACTTGGTGGCTCATCCCACTTAGTAAGTGGGTTATAACCCCAGTTATAAATGGGATAAGTAGGGTTAATCCACTTATAACTGGGGTTATAACCCACTTACTAAGTGGGATGAGCCACCAAGTGGTATCATTCCGTCCTGAGGCACTACAGGCTTTGGACCATCCTCATATCGTGGAGGTCATCGAGTACTTCGACGACATCTCCAGCTTTTTCCTTGTGATGGAACTGTGCACAGGCCTGGGCAATGGCGCCGCGGGATGTGGTAAATCAGTAAATCCAATCATAAACCGTCCCCAAGTCATCACCATAATAGATAGATAAATATATATATATATATAAATAAATAAATAATATCTATATATATATATAGTTATAGATTGTACAGACCCAAATGCTAGGTTTATGGCATTGGATGAATCCCACATTAAACAATTTTTGCATCCTATCTGGGGTATCCCGGAGTCCCGCCAAGAAGCTGAGCAGATTGCCAGGCCCAGACGTCTTCACTTATGTTCTGGAACGAATGGACTCGCAGCCGCGGCTTGTTTCGGCGTGATGTGGTGAGATGGGTTAGATATGGTTAAGAACTGTTAGTATTGGGTGGCCTTGGATCCACTTGACTTAAACAATCCTTCCTATGGCATGGTGATCTATGGCCCATTTGCTCGGATATATCTATAGTCTATAGTCTATATATTATATACGCAAATTGTAAATGCATGTATGATCATGTATGCATATACCTTTTTGTATATATAATTATTATAAGTGTATTATCCACCTCATTATATATCTTTATATGTGCATGTATATGTTGAGGTTGGGCTTCGCCATGCTTCCCCCCGACTTTGCACCAGAAAAAACATCACTCCAGCGGCCACATGTCAGGCCCGAAGGCGATGGATTCGTTCCAGAGTCGGAAATCTCCGTGATTCTAAGGCTGGCTGTGCCGTGGGAATAAGATGGAATAAGATCTGAGACTCTAAGAAGCTGGTCCCAAAGATTCACACAGGATACGCTTCCCCCTTTCTTTTGCGAGTGAACATCTCTTTTTCGATCGTTTTTTGTTGAATAAACAAGGAGCACCATGTCTGCTGCATCATCCCGCATGGTAATCCGCATGTGAAGATATGTCCCGGCATGTCCCGGCTGATGTCAAACAAAACTTGCTTAGCTGAACTTGAGATAGACAGCTGTGCATATTCGACAATCGTCTTCAAGACAGGCACAATTGAACCACGGAACGATTCCTGGAATTCTTCCGATGCACTGATGCCATGCGATTCGCAAACACCAAGGGAACAAGTACAATTAGACTCAGACAGAACAGATTTCCAGATGCCCCATGGTGCCACAATCATCACATTGCTCCCTTAACGGACACCCTTAGTCACTTTTGGCGTGCCATGTTTGGATTGTTTAGTGGCTGCTCGGCCGCCAAACCACCTTCAAAAGAAGAAATGAGGCGATGTGACTGGGACATGCGGGGACTGGTTTAGGTTCAATTACGTGGACGTCACAATGATAGGCAAATGATGGTAAATGTAGTGCCATTCATGATATTTGTAGTATTTAGGAATCAATTGGCCAGGAATGGATGGGTATAAGTATTGCATCTATTGCACATCATTCTCTGTTCTTAGGAGGTTTGCAGGTTCTGAGATGCGAGGACTGAGGCGTTTTCTGGAGCCGCAAGTGAAATATTTTGTGTGCCAGCGACGCAACGGAAAATTCACCATTGACTTCGATGATTTTTTCATTTACACAGGAAATCCCCCATTGTCATGCTAGGTTTACCGGATCAGTATTTCCAGGATTTTCCAGGATCCAGCAGATGAAACCACCAGTTCTGTATTGGTCAAGGGCCCACACAGTTGACGCCAATGCACGTGGCTTTTCCAAAGGGAAACTGTTGATGCGTCGATGCCAAACTTGAGGGTGCTGCTATTGAGTGGGTATAGCCACAGTTGGAGCGGCTACATCTCAACTTGTGGTGGTGAACTCACTCACAGTGGCTATAACCATTATTAACCACTATTAACCACTATTAACCACTAATTATGAACCATTATCAACCACTATTAAACACTGTTACACCCACTTACCGAAGAACCTCCAGCAGGTCAGATGGATACCCAACTGACACTGATCGCCGGGCATCAGTGCCTCGCAGTGTGCCTGCCGGGGCCACAGTGCCGAAGCCCGCGGTGACAGTGCTCGGCAATCCATTGGGAATCCATCGATTCGCAGAATTGAAGGGACAATTCATGCTTGAATCGTACGTATATATGATCATTATCTAGAATATCTATATCTATATATCTATATGAAATATATTATCGAAGGAAGTTTTGAAGTCAAACTTCCAACACTATGGACAGATGAAAAGCAGAGATGGGAAGAGTCAGAGAAGAGGAGAAGAAGAAAGAAGATCAAAAAAGAGAAAGTCTCAGAATAAAGAAGATACAGGTGCGCGAAAAGGTAGGAAAGTCGCGAAACACTGTGTTTTTCCAATGATTTGTGGCTCCCGAGGGTCAAAAAGTAGGCTTGCTTAAGCGGCGGGTTCGGAGCCAGCTGGCCAGATGAGAGATGAAAAATTGCACGCCGTTGCGGCGCGAAGCACATGTCGAAGTCAAAATGTACAAAACACACCAGGTCCGGACCACTTTTGGAAGTTGAGATGTCGAAAAAGTGCACGCCGTTGTGGCGTGAAGCACATGTCGAAGTCAAAATGTGCAAAACACCTCACGTTCGGACCACTTTTGGAAGTTGAGATGTCGAAAAAGCGCACGCCGTTGAGGCGCGAAGCACATTTCGACATCAAAAGTGTAAAAAACTGAGGGGTTCGGAGCACTTTTTGACGTTCAGATGTCGTTTTGCGTGGCAGGCGCAAGGGATTCGGCACGTTGCCAAAAGTGAGCAAAACGTGAGGGTTTTGTGGCATTTTCAACTACAACCACCACTACACCACAGTACACTCCACTACACTAAACTCAATTACACTACACTACGCTACACTACACTACACTCCACTACACTCAATTACATTCAATTACACTACACTAGACTACATTCCACTACACTACACTGCACCACGCGACACTACACTACACTACCACTACCACTACCACTACAACTACAATTACAACTACAACTACAACTACAACTACAATACATTACATAACACCACAACTACAACTACACTACACTAATTGCATTACACTACACTACACTACACTACACAACACAAAACAACACACTACACTACACTACGCTACACTACACTACACTGCATTACACTACACTACACCACACTACACCACACCACACCACACCACACCACACTACACTCAATTACACTACAAATGCAACTGCAACTACACTACACTAATTACACTACACCACAACTACAACTCCACTACACTACAACTACAACTACAGCTGCACTACACCACACTAGATCCAGCAGTTGTGGGTGAGGTGACCGACCAGGTGACCACTGCAACCATTGCAACCACTCCAAAAAACACAGCTCCAACCACCTTTCGGTCCATCAGTGGATTCGCTCTGCCATCCGTGATTCACAACAACCAATCTCTCTCCTATATATAGGTTTCCTATTTTTGAAACTTCCGCCACCGCCTTGTGCGGCACTACTGGTAAATATTGATGATTATAATTTATAATATATAATTAAATATATATATATACACAATGTATGTATATGCATGCGTGTATATAGGGAACGTGGTGGTTTCAACTGTAAAACTCGCCCCTAAAATCATCCAATCCATTTGGAAAGATCAAGATGCTGCTTCTGGCTGAGGATAGCAAGACTGGCAAAGCTCTCAAAGAGATGCAGAGAAGGTATCCTTTTTTGGCCTTGCCAATGCACAGTTTGTACGGCATTGTGAAGGACAGTGCCATGCCGAAATGCTGAAGGGCGGCTGCGGGTGATTGATGACTTGGAATCATCTCATGATGTTCCCGCCGGTGGCTTCAAACTCTTTTCCATACTGTACTACTGGTACTACTTGATATCATGGTCTGATCTGCATTGAATAGTGCCATGTTTGTACTCAGATCTAGTTTTTGGGAGATCACTGGTGATTTCATACCATAGTCACAGTCTTTCGGATGGGTTGAAATCACCTGCGTTTTACTCAGACACACAGATTCCACCATTTTTTAGACTGAGAGAATCCTCAGCACAGGACTGTGAAGACGCCATTTGTGATGGTGAAGAAGAAAGAGCTAACGATATCTTGGTGCGACTTGAACAGGAGGTTGAGTTGGAGGCTTGTGCTGCGGGCTGCTTGGGCTGCTGAGTTGTTGTGGGTATTCAACCCAAAAGTTCAGAGCGGGGTGCCAACATGCAACGGAGAACTGCAAGAGCTAACCGAAAGTTGCCCCGTTCGTAGCCTAGCCTGCAGCAGTATTTTGGAACTTTGGGCTTTGACGCCCGACCTTGTTGCTCTCCAGACTTTTTCCATCAAACCTTTGTGTGTTTTCTGCACAGTACCTGCAGATCACGACTCTGACAGCGGCTTTCAACCTCTTCAAGAAGCCCAAAGCGGATAGCTTGTCAGAAGCAGAGGTTCCTTCGCGTGGGTCTGCCTCAAAATATTGATCTACGTGCTTGTGTAGCACTCAACATTGTAAATGGGTCCACTGGTGCCCTATTTGTTACAACAAGCTGACAACGAGCTTCCACGTCCCTTCCCATTCTGTCACCCCCAAGTGGCACTTGTCTGATGGCCTGAGCAGGTCAGAACGATGCTGGATTACCTTGGCTTCCCTAAGGACTGCGGAATCTGTGCGTTCGACATGCTACAACGGACCAGTCTTGGATGTCGAGCTGAATCTGAGCGGTAAGTAGTGCAGAAATGTTCAGAATAGCTGAGGTATCTTCTCGATTTTCCCCAAATTACGGAAATCGAAACATATCGAAACTCTTTCACCAGGCACTTGGAAGTCCGTGGAACAACTTGGATCTCAGGCTGTTGGATCACCACTGTCCAGGAAAATGAGGATGTCGAAAAGATCCTAAAGGCAGTTGACACTGACGGCGTCGCTCGCCAAGTTGCCAAAACAACGGTTTGCCCGATGGCCAGATCAAACAGATATTACAAAGGACTCAGGTTATCATGGTCACGTTGGAGCGAGAGGGAGGCAGAGGTAGGATTCAACTATAATTAATGATTATGATTTGATGATTAATCAGATTACATTATAGATTCAATTAGGTATTAGATGGGTGATGTTGGGCGATTTTTTGTTGGCACTTTTTGGTCGCACATGGCGACCGAGGATCGCCGCATGAGTTTGAACGAGTTTCAGCTCTATGTGGGTCGAATGGGAGGCAGCCTCAGGCTATTTGAGGCCACGGGATGGGAGAGGCGAGGTGGAGGTGGTCGTTGCGAAACAGATAGAAACAGCTGAAACCATCTTAATGTACTGAATGTACTGTTGGAATCTAATAGATGCTCCTAGGCATCCTAGGCTGGTTCTAGATTTGAGATTCCATTATCGCGATGGTGTTGGATGGTGTGCTGTCACAGTGGGAATCGTTTTGACTGGACGATGCTTTGGGCGGGTGTTTGCCAGAAGAAAGACACGGGAGTTCTTGAAAGATTTTGAAATATCTGGAAGGACATGTCATGACATGTGATGATACTGAGATATAGTTAGTAAGAATAATAAGAATTGACATTTGGGGGTCAGGACCATGTCGATGATATGCTGGTGGTGCAGCATGCCACACCATGGCTTGTGGGGACGTCATGAGACCGGTCGGGTAGGACAGGGACTTGTTGACTTGTTGAGCATGTCAAGCCAGACCACCATAGATCAGACGCAAGTGATAAGCTTCCAGAGGATCAGTCGCCCAACAATCTTGAGGTACACTAAGGTATGACAATCGGTTTGGGTTGGGTAAAAAATTATAAAAAAAGGAAGACTTCAGTCCTCGAATAATCTTTCAATATTTTGCATATGGCAGAGGACTTCAAGAAGGCAATTTTCATGGATATTCAACCAACCCAAAGATGACCTCCCAAGAATAGATGGTCAAAAAGAGCCTTTTTGGATCTTGTTAGTGGTTGTTGGTGGTTAAACGGTTAAACTTGGCCCGGAACCTTGATGAAAAGCAAAGAATTCCCGAAGGTACGCAGACAGCAGATGGAAGCCAAACACGGGCATGGGCGCAAAACTCAGATGGGACGCGGTGAGAAAGGGGTGAAATCAAGAACTTAAACCACTTCTTTTTTGATAATTTTTGGAGCAAAGATGAAAAACATAGCTTTAATTCCATTTCAAAAACATATTTTAGATGGAATTCAATGCCCCCCTTCCATCATCCTCCAACTTCCTATTTCAAACAGGTACACAGGGACCAATCTTTGGGGTTTGGAACCCCTAAAATCCTTGGTTTGAAAGCTGTTGAGGAGACAGCTGGTCCCATGGAAGTCTCGTTGCTGTAGGACTGGTCATTTATTCAGTTTGGTCGAGTCTAGTCATTGTTGCAATTGTCAGGTAGTTCAGCTGGTTCAGATGGATTCATCATTTCTGGATTTCGCAGTTTTCTACAATCCAAGAAGTGTTTTTTTCGGCCAAGGATGAGGGAAAATCCACTTAGTGTCCCTATCAATTCTGCTGGTCATGGATTTCCCAATGATTTCGTGGAGATGGTCCCTGTCCCATGCATTGATCAAGCCCTGCTGAACCAAGTGAACCAAGGCATGGCGGTGAAGCAGTAGATCCAGCAGCCCTGAGGATGAGCCTGCTAGAGGTTGGCTACACACATGAATAATACACATATCAGTCATTCTATTATTCCAGCATACAGTATACATGTATATATATATATGTACGATATACATATGTATCGATTAAGTTATCTATGTTGCACTCCTCTAGAAAACATCTTTTTGAAATGAATATATACATATACACGCACACACACATACATATGTCTATAATATATACACATAGATTGTACATGCACTCCATTGCACTCGCTGCACATAGGCATATACATATATACACACACGGACAGACCTGTTCATACTTTTTGACTTTAAAACTTTAGAGACTGCCAAATATTCAGGTCCAACAGAAACTAGACAATTGCTTGAATTACATCAACCAGAAACGATCACACCTGGCAGGCTGGCATCAGGGATGATGCGCAGGCATGGTGCAAGTCTGGTAATCGCACCTTTTAAGCCCATGGGACCCACCAGTAAAGTGCAAGGATGGACATCATGAAGATGCAGGGGGCCAAATTCACTATTGATATCTAGAGTATTCTATATTGAAATTGGTCAACATCTCATTCTTCATCCTTCTTTGCAGTTTCAAGATCTCATTCTTATTCATTCTTCACAGTTTTCTTGTGACATCCATGCGGTAAACCCAATAATAAGGGATATTATTTTTCAACCATTTGTGGAAAATATGGGTGATGATTTCTTGTCGGGTTTTACCACGATACCCTGGTAAATTAACATAGACCCTGAAAATGACCAATTTTTAATGGACACTCATCTTCCCTATTGTATCTGGTAGGGTGTTCATGTTAATTTCCTGGAGGCTATCGATACCCGTTGCGTTTGCAACATCCCATAGCCACAGCGAGGCTTACTGGCGCTTGGTGGTGCCTCCCAGCGAGTTCACAGAGGCAGCTCGCTTGGCGAATTGTCAGAAGCGGGCCGTCGGAAGCTGAGTGCTGCAACCGCTCAGGTTGAACCAATGGATTGGTTGGGAACAACTTCACCGGAAACGATGGCGCTTTTACCAGGATTTCTAGGGTTTTCTACTTGTAGGGTTTTCGGATTGATTAAAGGGAAAACCGTCTACCCTCGAAGCCAACATGGGCCATATCGAAACTATCACGATTTCAAGAGGTAAATCATCCATAAATGGGTTATTTTCTTTAGCTATATGTTAGATATGTTAGATTCCCAGAGGGTGCAGGAAACCATAGCTTTTTTACTGGAATCCTGCAGATTTTCCCTGAAACCAAATTTGATGAGGTTACCATCCAACATGACGACCCAGTATCCATGGGCCTTTGGGGTTGGAAGACGCATGATGCACTGTCCGAGCTATTTTTTTTTCTGATTGTAGTAGTTGGGGTATAGTTGGGGTCTATGTTCATTGGGGGGATGGTGGTTCGGAACATTTAGCTTTAACTTTCATCTCCACCTGGATGATCCCATTTTTTCGCAACATGGTGGTAGGATGTTAGGAGCGGTTCACATCCCAGGAAGTGGTGAAACCCAACACCAGTGGGGTCTGACCAGTCTTGGCCACCGCCACTGAGGTCTCACACATCCGCACGTTGGCGAAGCAGAATCACGACAAAGCCTTGCCAGAGCTGCAGCAGCGGATCGTCAGGAAGTTGGGCTTCCAGGACAAAGATCTTTGGATGACGCCGCTCGGCAATGGGTGTCACCATCTTTCTCGCAGCTTCCCTACTTCATCCATCTTTGTCCATTGAGTCCATTGATATATATATATATACTTTCAACTCTAGGGCAGTTTTTCACCAACAACTCCAGCGAAAATTTCCCAGTGACCGTGGGCCCCCAACTCCCGCGCAGCAACCGCTACCTCCCAGGCTGGCCTGGATACGTGAGATGGCGCCCATCATCGTGCACGTGGACTTGTCCAAGATGTTGAAGTTCATGGAGGAAGATACTCACTACCGCAATCAGCTGCTGGTCGTGGTTAGTTCACGGCTACAAGATGGTAGCATGGTGACAACCTCGATAAGTTGTGAATATGTTGGGATACATAAGCCCCTGTAACATCATATAGCCATGGTTTCATATCCACTTAGTTTACTGGAACTGCACCCTCTAAGATCCCCCAAGTGTGGTGCTTCATTCCGCTTGGTTTATGATATAACATGTAGCTACTGTAGATATGCAAGTCCCAGATCGCAATGGAAAGGTGCACCTAATGTAAACTCCGATGGAATAAGCCTTGGGTACAGCCTTAATAATACCACCCCAAATGACAAAATTGGGCATGTCGGGGATAGTTTCCCATGGTTTCCCCACGGTTTCCAGCCTTGGCTGTGAGGTTCGAAACTGCGACTTCAGGAGGTGCTGCGACAGCAGTGTGGATGAGTCCCTGCAGGGGAAAGCACATCATTTGTGATGCTCATGGGCTTATCTGTTCTGGCAACATCATGCTGTGTAATTATAGATATGGACATTCAATGATATTCACCACCGTTTTATTTGGCATATTGGATATGATATGCTATAAATATTGGATATGATATGCATATCTAGAACCAATACCCGTACTATCCCTGTACCCACATCGGCGGACCAGGCCTGCTGAAACCCGCGACGCGGGAGAAATGGGAACGAGATCTCTTCGGTGGCTGCTACGATGGAGCCAAGGCCTTCTGATGGGCAGGATCTCTGGATCTCTGGATGTGTCAGATATGTTGACGTTTATTATCCATATGGAATCCATATTATCCATTGACCATCTCCCACCTGTATTTCTGGACTAAGAGGTTGGGGGGCAAAGAACATAAAGAACAGTTGTCTCATGTTGTCTCTCTTTTATCTAATAGTCCCGGTTTTTTTTTAGATGATTTTCAGGTGGTCTGTCAAAGTGCCCGTTTCTTTTTTTCGGAATGGCCTTTTACGTCTCCGTTGTCGTCGCAGCATCATCCGCCATCTCTCAGGGCCACGATCGCTGCAAGTATGGAGTGCTGAATGCCATGAATGACCACCGTGGAGTGGTGAAATGCGCCCAGTATGGGGACAGTTACCTCGTGCTGAAAGACGTGCCCATTGGCAGAGAGGGATGGAGGGGGGCGATGACCTAATAGGATTCAATATAGATATACTATCTGGTTATTTAACGTAGCCATGGGAAATGACCCATTTATAGATGGTTTACCTATTAAAAATGGTGATTTTCCACCATGGCTATGTTAAATAACTAGATGGTATTAATAATTAATATGTATTATGCCTCAATTCTTTGAGGCGCACAGGAGGTCCACATAATTCTTTGGCAAACTGTTTGGTAGACTCTGCATCTGTATGTGCCTCTTAGTGGTAAGTAGCATTAAGTAGCAAATAGCAGCAATGTTATTGGATATTGGGACCCAATGGAGGAGACTGAGAAGACTATATATAATAATGTATATATACAAACCCATGCCTACAGCATGATAATCAGTGCGTTTTTGCTGAACTGCTTGAGATGGCGATGGATATACACTATATATATAATATACATAGGCATATATCATCATATATCATTTCTTCTTTTACACTGTGCAAATACCATACTTCACGCACACACACATATATATATATATATGCATATGCACATGCATACAGATGTTGTTGTTTTTTGATAGGTGTACCAATATATGGAACAGTCTTATCTTTCTTTGCTTCGCACTGAGGCGTTTGAGGTGCACCTTTTCGCCCGAAGACTCTGCCAACCTCAAAGCAGAACGCGCGGAGCTGAGGCTGCGCCAGGCCTTTTTTTGGTGCGGTGATGTGGCACTGTTGATTGGTATTATCCAATCACCATCACCAGTTATCCCTGTTATTAGGGGATTATCCAATGGGATAACAGGGATCAGATTATTTAATTAGATTATCCCTGTTGTCCCCTGTTGATTGGGATAATCCAATGGGATATTAATGACACTAATGCGATATGATATGAATTAGTGTTGGGACATGGGACATTAATCCCTTCCCACTTACCAAGATGCCGGTTTAATGGGATTATCATGGGATGAAATAATGATTATATAATATGATCAAGAATCCCCTCCCCGTTCATAGTAAACACCCCCCAGAAGACACAGATTTAACCTACCCGGTTTATTGAACATTATGAACTACTCCAAAATTAACGGGATACTGTACCTCTTAATCAACCAGCATATGTTGTTTAGTTGTTTTCAATCATAGAAATGGGATCCCCAACGGCTATTTGTTCAAAAGTATTTTTGGGATGGTTTGAAACCACCCGCCAGCAGGCGTAACATTGCGTGTGCAATTTGCCTATTAATAGACAAAGAGCTTCCACATGACATAGAGCAACATTCGTATATAATTTGTGTAAACTACAAATTTTGCATCGTTCAAAAGAGTGAATTATCATAAGATGTGTATATATGTATATATATATGTATATGTATATGTATCATTTTTGAACAGTCGAATTCTCTCATCACAAACTGCTGCGCCAAGTTTTCTGGACGCTCTGAGGACTGGCTGTCTTGGACTTCTATGGCCACGTGCGCGAAGCTTAGGACATGGATCAACCCGGGCTGGGGTGGTGGCCCCCTCCTAAAAGTGGATTGCTGGAGGCTCCCATGTCCAGTGGTCCAGGCTTGCGGAATACAGCGATGCAGAACTCAAAGAGACGTGAACGCCTTGGAGTGTTTCAAAGCAGTCAAGGCTGTTTGCTGCAGCAGTTTTGGCCCATGATGCACATGCTTAAATATGCTCAAGTCAAGGTTGCAGTTGGCAGATGTTGGCAGTTTGGCATGTTTATTTGTCTCACTCAGGATTCAGGTTGCAAAATCCTCCGATGCAGCCCTGCTGGGCAATTCAGAAAGTGTTGGAAAGATGAAGTACAAGGCACCAGCTTTCAGATCTTGAGGCTGCCATTCCCTACTTAAGTTTCGCATGACTTGGGGTCTCTGAGCTGTCAGCTGGCAAAGTGGATGAAGCCTAGAACTTGATCCCCCAGGAAATTCCATGTTTATCAATTTTTGTTGGCGAACTCCCCTATATATGAACCTCAATTGATGGTTAAATTTAGTGAAGTCATGATTTTTCAAGGTTAATCACCCATTTTTCCATTCTTTTTCCCAGATGTGGCCACCAGTGACCATCAGGAGACCCAAATCCATGGGGAGATCTGCTTCGCCAAACACGTGGAACGCCTCGTGGCGCACCAGCGCCACCGCGAATCCAAAGCGGATCAAAGTCGCCTCGAAGCCGTGGCGAAGAAGTTCAACTGGAAGCTGTCCTGGGTGGACAAGGCCTACGGCAAAAAACGGGGAAAAGGAGAAGACCCATGGCAGTACCACACTCAGAAGAAAGCAAAGGTGTATAGTGCAAATAATAAGATATATGATATATGTGTATTAGTATATATATATTTATGTGTGTGTGTGCGTGTGCGTGTGTGGGTGTATGCAGACACAGTGCGCTCAAGCCGTGGCCAACATCCAGAAGCGCCTCGCCTTGCCTTTCCGGTCGTTGGTCCAATGTCCTTCGCAGAGCTGGGAAGGACCGCGAAGGTCGCCCACGAGAAGTTTGTCGCAGAGACCATTACGAGGTTCATGAAGGAATGTAGAGCCGTTGCTGCTCAGGGGTGTTTCTCCTGTGAGGTTGGGTTTGAGAAACCAAAGTGTCTTGATGATCAAATTATAATTCTGGATGTGAAGCGAAAACTGGATGAAATGGGCTTTGAGTCCTGGGAGGTGCAGCCAACCTACGCCAAAAACTGCTTTAACATCAGAGCCAAGTGGACAATGAAATCTCCAGAGCCCGAAAAAACGGAAAAAGGACAGCAGGGCACCAGCAGCACCTGTCCAGTTTGCTTCGAAAATCGGCCCATCGTGGCCCTCACACCATGTGGACACGTTGTGTGCCAGCAGTGCCAGGGATCTCGCCAATTTCGGCAGTGTCCAATGTGCCGGGGAGATGTCACTGGAGCCACAAAGGCCTTGTTCTTGTGAGATTGGATTGCATATATTGCATGACAAGTCCGGGCCATAGCTGATATGGAAAAAGTGGCACATTTTCTGCCATGCTTTGTGGCATCAGCTTTGCTTGTGGATGGTCTGTGATGCCGTGACAGGGCTCCTTTCAGTTTTGAAGGCAACAGCTTCAATGTCTTCTTTCTCTCTGACCGGTATGTCCCTCTTGCTGGTGGAGACCGGTTTAATGTGAGAACAGTAGTCCATTTAATTTGGGACAATGACCTGAGCATGTCCACAACAGCACGGAACATGAATGGCCCACAAGAGGCTTATTTAAAAACGCAAGCGAGGCGATGCTGGAAAAAAACTACATAGTATGCATTGCATATGAATAAAGACGTCTTGAACCTGCATGCATGCAATTTAGATAAGATACTGTAATATGGAACCGTGCGCGTAAAGAACGGCGCACAGAGGAGAGGTCTGTGTGCCCCACGTTTCTGCGTAATCAGCACAAAGTGCCCCACAATTTTGTGTGTTGACGCAACTGATGTGCATTCAAGTTCCAGCACGATGAGCAGATAATATGACTCAGTTGCAGGTCCGGATGATTTCCAGCAGTAGATTTTCCATTAAACCGCCAATCCAGCGAACAGTCACTATACCAAGTTTCAAACGGCGCAGCGGAAGGAACGGGAACGGATGCAGAAAGAAGAGCGAGCCAAGCTTGGTGCGGGCGCATGGGAGGAGCGGCTTGCAGTGGAAGCCTCAGGACGCTTCAGGATGTCACGAGCTGCATGCCTCAGGATGCCGGAAGGCACAACGCTGGGGTGCAATTCTGGGGTGATGTTTATGCGTATGACCATGCTGACTACAAGTGTGAGACATATATCCACTTAGTTCACTGGAACTGCACCCCAAGTATGAACACAACATTTGCTTGCTTGCACTTGCCTTTGTGAAAGAGTCCCATTTTCAGTATCGCTGAGTTATGGCTCTGCTAAGGCGCTGATGGAGAAGGGGATTCCAGACGCACCGGGTGTTCAGCCTGGATATTGCAAGAAGGACTGCCATACAGCATGAAGGGGGATCCTGTGGTAAACCAACATGAAGTGGCAATGGAAAACCCACAGCAATCCACCCTTATTAGTGATTCATGATTCATTGATTCATGATTTGCTTCATATTCATTTGTGGCAGATTTGGAAATCATCCCATCCCCCAAACTGATGGTCCCAGTCATCCATGGCTTTGCAGGGCTGCGGCCGCCAAGTGGCTCCGGGAACCACCAAGAGGGGCAAGCCTTTTGACACCTGCTGCCGTGGCTGTGTCATGGGCTTTGGCCACGACATGACATGTGGCCACTTGGCAGGGACATCCCCTCTAAATGGAGGCGTTAATGGGAAAATCGCCTATATATATAATTATGAATAATTACAGTATGGGATTTTGCATTGCCATGTTTGGTTACCCGAACGTAAAAGCAGATGTGCCATTAATAGGGAGCAACCAAGAGTTTCTCCAAAATGAATGTGGCGGCAGCAAAGACATGCAGCAGAAGTTTCAGAGAATATTTATAGAATATTATAGTTATTATAGAACATCAGATTGAGCCGTTCACTTCCTTTCCGATCGCGTTTCGTTGACTCTTTGTTCCATCATCACTATGACCCTGCACCCGCTGTCAGTGAATCCAACGAATCCTTCCAGTTACCTAGTGTGAATTCATGCGGCAAGCCTAGCACAGTTAGCATTGTTCAATTGCATGGATGATGACATGATTGTCGTAAGTGGAAGGGGAGTCTTGATGGTCTTGCCAGTTTTCTTTTCGATCTGTTGGTTTTGATTGCTGTCCTCTGGATCCCTCTGGTAATCTAAGCTTGAAACGCAAAATTGCTGGTTTGCAAAATTTCATTAATACTCAAACCATAATTTTTGAGGCTATATAAATGATTTTGGATCAAGATCATATTGCCATCATTGCATTGAAATAAAATTGTACTGTTTTAAGATCATCTTACCAGCATGGTATGACATATTACTAGCACATAGGGTATTTCCCCACTTGTCACCTGTTGATGAGGCAACATCGATCCAGCGCTCTTGGGGCCTGGCAAGTGCAAGTGCTGGCCTTGGTCAGAGATGGGTCAGCAATCCAAATGGTGGTTTAATGGCGTATATATATATATAAATACAATATATATATATATACAATATATATATACAATATATATATATATACAATATATATATATATATACAATATATATATATATACAATATATATATATACAATATATATATATACAATATATATATATATACAATATATATAATATGTATATATATATAAATACATAATGGTGCGTTGATGGGATATTAATGATACTAATGGGATATACGTACATATATGTATATATATATATATATACATAGTGGGACGTAAATGGGATATTTAATGATCTATTTCTGGATGCATTCCAAGATACCATGTTTTTCTTGTGGTGTTTTCAAGGTTCACAAGGCCAACGGATCCACATCATCCAGGCACGGTTGCGGCCGTCCCGTGAACCCGGGACGACACCCTTCGGGCCGCAGCTACGACACCTGCTGCCGCGGCTGCAGTTCCGGACACCATGACGCCACCTGTGGGGAGGCCATTGGTGGGGGCAACTGTCACAGGATGTCACAGGATGGTAAATGTGAGCGTAAAAGTACCCAGTTTTTGCAGCACGGAGATTGTACAGATAGAATCAGATAGATATTTTTTCATATTTATACTGTATATTATATATATACTATATTTTGGCAATCCCCAAGTAGATAGAAATGATAGAAAAGTTGCACACCTGGAAGTTTTTTTGGTGGAAAGCATCATCTACAGCATCCTGTGAGGCCGAGGATCTCAGCGAAGAACCCGTGAAGCCTGGCTTGTGCAAGATGAGGCCAGGTGAATCCTGGAAGAATAAATCCTGGTTGAGGGCTATCATGGGTTATCTCAAACATCTCAGGCAAAATACCCCTAAAATCATGAATTATATGTCATATTCATATAAATTATATATAGATGTTATGAAGAATTTCAAGATGGCCCTGCCATTGAGAAGCCAGTTCTTTTTCGTCATCCTGGGCTGATGGGTGGGTCCTTGGTGGAGATCACGACTCAAGGCTTGTGAACACCTGCAGGTGTGGCCGAGCGGTGGCGAAAGCAAAAGATGGGAGGCGCTTCGATACTTGCATCTTGGCGGAATCGCGGGTGGCAATTTGTTATGGGCAAGCAATGGGAACAATATGAGCCCCCTGCTACAGTATTACTTGTAGTTGTCATCGTCGTCATCATCATCATCATCATCATCATCGTTTGAGCTGTCTAGCAGCTTCAAAATGGTCAACCTCACGGAGATATCATGTCATATCCGCAACTGATGTTGTTGCCCATGTTGGATCACGTTGCTTAGGTTGTCGCGGTTGTGCCACTGGAACTGGCCATAGCAGGACCTGCGTGGCATAGATTTTCAAAAAGATGCGCACCAAAGCTTAAGTGGAGCTTTCCTGAAATGGTGGATCCCAAAAACCATGGGTTTCAATACCAAAATTGTCTAAGTTGGATGATTTGGGGGTACCCCCATGACTTTGGAAACCTCCAAGTGCGACATACTCGTGTGTTGATTTCACCTGGCCAAAGTGCAGCGAGCCGCATAGATCAGCATTGTCAGCAAAAGAGCAAAGTTGGGTGGCTGCCTCCCAGCATTTGTTTTTCATGTCTGCAACAGCGTCACCTTGACAGCACCAGTGGGCGGCACCTGCAACTTGAAGCAAGCAATCCAGTATGATCATGTATGATCCAGTCTCCTGGAGGCAGTGTTTGAAGTCGGTTCTTTGTTGTCATGCGCATGGATTTGCCCTCACCTCAGCCGAAGTCAGCCGAAGTCAGCACCAGGCACCTGCCATATCCACCATGATGGTTGTCCCAAGGTCCACCGAGATTTGAATGCCAAGAACTTCATGATCACCGGTGATGACAGGAGATAGCGACTGTCGGTAAATCCTGGTAGAGCCACATCATATGAGGTATCCAGATATATTTCTGTCCTCTCTCTCTAATTGCTGTATTTTATATGTAAACACACATGCATACATATATCATACATGTATGTATATATAAATATATATACATACATATCCATACATGATTCACACGATATATCATGTTATTTTTGGGCTGATCTATGGTGATCTATCTTTTTTCATGCGGCGAGGACGGTGAAGCTGATTGACTTCGGCCTGGCTACACGCTTCTATGGATACCTTCCCCAGGATCAATACATTGAGATCGTTGGTGCCGTGGGGAACGGGTGAAACTGTGCGTTGATGCGAAAAGAAAGGTATCCCATGGGTATTTTAAATGGGTCTACCATGATCTACCCCAAATCTGTCCAAATCTACTGATGAATTAATCTTCTCATGATATTCGCAAAATCCACTGGTTGAAAAACATCATTTTCCCCATTAAAAGTGGCCATAGTTCCGGTGTAGATCACCTCATTCATGGAAGAGAACTGGAAGATCTCCATTTGCAATGCCAACCCCAGAATAGTAAACCCTGTTCGAGGGGGTTACCTCCCAAAATGTGATCATATATGATAATACAGAATGAAAATGAGACCCCCATATTAGTAAGTTGGGGTTTTGTTTGCCTGGGTTGACATTGGATCCTTGTGGCTTCCGACATTTTGGGCCAGGTACGTCCCACTACATGGCGCCGGAAATGATGATCAGCGGCAAGTACAGTCTGCAGCTGAAATACCAAGAATGAGAAGATGTGAGGAATGGGGGATGTGAGCATTTTGTTTGGTCTAGGAGTCTAGGAATCACTAATCCTGAGATTATTCAGAGGTTTGCTTCATGAACAAATCCATGCAGAACTGTTATGTTTCAACCACGGGAACACTTCAAAATCCTTAAAATATCGCGCCACCAGGCCCAGCCGTGGACATGTGGTCCCTGGGTGCTCCCTGCATCCTTTTCACACCTCTTTCAGCCCGCTGTAACCTTGACTTGGCCAAACTTCAGATGCTGCAGATGCTGCGGACTTCATTCACCCGCTGCGTTTCCATTTTTCATGTATTATTTTTCTTCCAGGTTGAACATGGTTGAACTGATTCCAGTTTCAGTTGCCAGGTGTTCTCCTTTACGTGTGCTTGACTGGGCCCCTTGGCATAGCCACATCATGCCACATCCGCTTTTCTGCCGCGGCAACTGTGGTATGTGGTATGCTGAGGTTGATGCTTTTGCCAAAGGATGATGACAGAAAAAAGCACTTGCTCGGCAAGAAGGACACGCACATGTTGCACAAGCGTTGCATCTCGATCGGCTTGGAACATCCTGGATGCATCTTGACCTTTGCTTACTTCAAACATAGAAAAGGCGTATCAATTTGATAGGACTGATGACTATGATCATTCACTATCTATATAACTTATTACGATATATTATATTACGATTAGTTTTGGGGCAGACCATACTACTTACTGTACTCAATTTTTGGTCTGAGGCCACTGCGTACGCTACAGTGCAACCATTTATGTATATAAAATATACGCGTAGCATCATCCCAATGCATGGGTTGCGCCACGTGCTCTCAGTAACGCGCAAGCCTCGTCCAGGCATATGTGGAGAGGAAACTAGAGAAGTGCACCCAGTTGCAAAAGCGGGATTGCTCTGAACAGGCGCTATCAGCTCAATATAGCTCAATTATCCTTAGGGATTTTGGGCTGAGATGCAACTCACTTGTGATTTTGACGTGTGTAGGCGCGGAATCTATTAGGGATGATGCAGGGCACTCGGTTTGATGGGCAACCCCTGGTGGCTGCACCTTTTTTGGGATGAATGCCGTACTTGCTGACCTCAGGTTGAAGTATGAACCAGCAGAACGCATTTCCGCCTCGGAAGCTTTGTTTCTGCCCCAAGCTACTGGCACTGATTCTCGAGCCCATCAGATTTGCTGAGAAGACTGCAAGCGACTGCGGCACCCAGGTCCCATCCCTTCATTTTGAGCGCCTTGATCGCAACTCTGAGATTTAGCCTTTGGTGATTTAGCATGGCTAATTATGGAAAATGGCCCATATATAGATGGTTTACGGTGCTTTACCTGTCAAAAACTGTGATTTTCCCTGGCTACGTTAAATAACCAAAGCGTAGTTTGAGTTTTGATCCACTGTTTCATCGTTGAAGGTTTTCATCCCATAGATTGATGGCGCGCCAGAACACTGCCACGAATATCTGGGTGGCGCAGTCGAAGCAGAGACGCAGCTGGATGAAACCATCATTGAAAAGTTGAGGCCAAGAACACTGGAACTGCACAGGTGAACAGTGTTTTCCGTAATGTATCCAACTCATGCATTTGGTGCATACACACTGTATTGGAGCATGTATATGTGCGTATGTATATATGTCTTTTGATATATACTAGTGATTTTTTAATGTATACGTGTGTGTGTGTGTATGCTCTGCTCGTATGCATGAATATGATGACAGTTAGGCTTAATTTGCATGTGCCAAAGGGATTGAAAGGGCATTTCTCTATGAACTCCGGGCACTTTGGCAGGCGTTTTGCCAAAGCACCAAGGCTGAAGAAGGCCCGTGTGACTCTACTGGATCCTTAGCCGTTCATGTAACATATGGCATAGTTTCCTCCAGTTTGTTGATAATGTTGTGGCTAAGTGCTGTCAAATATGCCGTCAATGATCCTTGGATGATTTGGGGAAGGGCATCGCTCACGGAAGAATATGGAAGAATCATTTTTTCTGCAGGTTGCTCAGCTTTTCATGGCCCACCTGGCAGAGCACGAAGCCGAATTGCTAGCTCGGCACTTGGGGCCCGCCATATCTCGCCCGCTTAGACACGTGTTAGACAGAAAAACTTCATCAACATGTCGTGTGACTAAGCTACTTTCAAATAGTGAATAGTGTGTTTAACATGTTTAAACCTTGAGCTAGTTCAGCCCAGTGACCAACCGACAGCCGATACAACTGGAGGGCCCGCCGAGGCGGCACGGCACCATTTTCGCACGCTGGACCGGAACGGTGGTGGCGAAATCTCCCGCGAGGAGCTCCAGGCTGATGCACCTTCACCTTAAACATGGTTAAACTGCACCTTCACCTGGCCGATGATGCTGATGCGTGGATCAAAGTTCAGACCCTCAGCTGGTTCACCTGCTGGTTTTCCGCTGGGATCTGGGAGCTGTAGCCGACCAGGCTGGCCTTGCAGCTGCCGGCATTGCTGCACCAAGCGATTTGCAGGAGATCTTTGATGGCTGCTGTTAGCTGCTTGGAACTGGAGCTGTGCAATGCTGAACAGGTCATTGCCACTGTAGGGAATGGTTCATTACATGTCACCTGGGTAGATTGTCATCTATTATTGGGATTTATTGGGTATCTCTGAAAACCATCTCTGATCTTTTCGACATATCCGAAGCGGCAACATGTCACCAGACATCACTGCTGTTTCAGGTGCTCATCGCGAGGGCAAGTGCGCCTCTTCATTTGGGGAGCGTTCTAATTCTGCCACAGATTCCATGCAATTCTGCTGGGATGGGTGCAGCCAGGCTCCATTTTGTGGAATTCTTGGCGTGCATGATGTCCCCACCTCAAGTCACGTCGAGATGAATTGCAGCAATGGTCCAGCACGAATTGCCGAGGCCCGATAGCCTCATAGATGAGCGGTTGTGCCACGAGGTGCGTTGCTGCGGTTCCAGTCCCGGCATGTCCAACGATATCCCAAATAGATTCATCAAAAGAGCAGAGGCAACTATATAATTCATTTGGAAGATTTTAGAATGTGCCCAGATATTTCGATACAATTTTGATCCATTTGGATATTTTTTGAAACTTGCAGTGAACCTCTTCCAACTATCCCCTGGTGGACCATTTGCCAGGCCTTTAACCTACTGGACCAGGACACACAAAGCTGCAGAACAATGGATATATGGATATATATGGATGATGTATTTCACCATATTTCAGTCGCATGTCAGTGATAAACTCTTGAATTTGTTTAATTGTTTGGTATTTTTTCGGGTTTGATTGGGTTGACAGAACGGTTTGCCCGCCAAGGGTTTGACTTTAACACAGAATCATTAACCACGAAGAAAGTGGATCCAGGCTCTGAAGTGATGCGATACCTTTCAAGATAGGAAGCATGTGAAGGTGCGGAAAAACTGGCCTGGCAGGAGGGAAAAGGCAGGTTGGCAGCGGAAGACCTACAAGCAGCAGGGGCCCTCATCACATTGTGCTTGACTTTGGTTTTTGGCATCCAACCACATCCGAACCCAGCTGCAATCCCAAAATTGTCAGGTTTGCCACTTCGACTGGGAGAGGTGCTGTGCGGCTTCTGAATCATCCTGCGCGTGCTGATAGCCGCTGATTCTAATGTGGCCGGAGGTGCCGCCGCATGGTGCAGCAAGCAAAGCCTGTGGATGATTTTCGGCGGCATCAATGGGGTTCTTGTTTGCATCACTGATATCGATACCTTTCATGAGTCCCTTTCCAAGAGTCGCTGATGGCTGAGGATGGCACGGACTACTTTGAGTTTGATGATTTCTACATGCTTCTCTGCAGTGTCCGTCTCAGAGGGTCTCGCTGGCTAAACGGATGGTCGATCATCATTTTCAGTGCCAAGATTGCAATTGATTGGCTTTTTTGAATCCCCTTTACTTGGACTATCTTGGACTCCCAATATAACATCACTGATTCTATATCCCATTGTATCTCGGTATCCCATTCAATACCCGTTAAATATATAATTATGTACAGTATATACAGTATATAAATATATTTCTATAAGCCCCATTAATCCTTCATTCTAAGTTCCAATCCTATCCATAAATCCCCCATATACCCATTATAATCATTATATAAGCCCCATTAACTCCCATTAAATACCTATTAAATCATATCAATTCCATGGGTTTTCACTGCGATGACCACATTCTCCAGGCCAAAAGATCGATGGCTCCGAACAAAATCTTGAACGACCCAGCAAAGTCCCGCGACTTGACGGAGGCCGCCGATGCAACCGAAATTGTTGATAAGCCATGATAAGCCAACAGTCAAAGAAATGCCATGAGGTACAAGTATGTACAAGTGCTGAAGGTGTTTCATGAATGTCACCATGGTATTTTTGAGCCAAGTGTTGAAGGCTTTTAGTAAATGAAACGCCAATGGTGGAAAGGGCATCGGTTCGGGAAAGCCATGCTTAAAAGCCCTTTATCGTGCAAGTTTAGCCCAGACATTGTAGAATTTGAAACACGTTTGGCGTATTCCATTGTGCCACATGAGGCTCTTGCAGCTTTATTGATGTTGCAGGTGATGGGAAGACAACATTTACTGGCATCCCTGCGACCATTCCTGCGTTTGATTAGATTATCTGTGCACCAAAATGGTTCGCACTGCTTTGTACATAAGTAGCCGAAAGAATCTCACATATATTTGATTCTTGCAGATAGATTTCTTTCAAATTGAGCAGACCCAAAAAACAATTTGTATTATCATCATATCTATATATATACATATATATATATGTGTGTATGTGCCAAATCTGAGAACATCTATAATTATATATAATCTATAAAAAATAACCAATATATTCTTAGATTTGATAAATATCATTTAGATTCATCGACCGGATTTCCTACTAAATATTAATCACAAATATTGTTATCCTGAAAATATCTAGAAAATATATTCCTTTGATTTTTTTAAATCCATTCTATAATTCCATATTACTATAATAATATCTTATAATATATATATATATATAAATATTATATCTAAAAATTATCTATTAATATTGATTTCTATTTGAATAATTTTTTTATTATATTAATATTTTAATACAATATATATACAATAACATTATTAATTATTAAAACCATCAAAATTATTTTTTTAATTATATATAATATACGAACTAATATAAAATTAAAAAAATAATTTTAAATATATATATATATTTATATTTTT